ACAACCAGCTCTGAAACCACACTCCTGCAGCTCAGACCATCCAGACCCAAGAGCCCCAGCCTGGGCTTAAATAGAGCTTGGGACTCATGGGCAGAGGTGTGGGTGGAACTCAGGTGAGTCCCTCAGGGTAATCAAGGCCTGTCAGTGCCCTCCGAGCCCTGAGAGGGCTTAGAACAAAAACAGGGGAAAATCATTCTGATCATTCCTGCTGCCCTCTCTGAACATTCCCCAGTTCCATTACATATTTTTGAGGAGAGATTAGAAGCACACACAATATCTAAAGTACAGGGGTACCACAAACTTACACAATGGGACTGAGATAGTTTTTGTTCTGCTCTGTTTCTTTAATTAATGCTAACATTTGATCTGCTTTTTGCACATCAAGCACTGAGCTGACATTTTCATGAAATCATCTGTCCTGATGCTATAAAAGTGACCCTTCCCTTTGGTCACTACTCTCTTTGTGCAGCACTTCTCATTTATACTGAATTTCATCTGCCATTTTACTGCTAAGACCCTCCAGTTTGAATGGTCCTTCTATAATACTCATCATCTCATTCCTACATTGAACACCACACAAGGATCTCACTATTCCACATCCAAAATAAGATTTAGTGAACCACTGGATTATCTGTTATGCTGAAACAGATAACCCAGCATCCCTAAGCAATAGTCAAAAGGTACTGAAGACAAACATTGACAAATGGGAAAATGTGTCTTTATTAACTATCTGTCCCCTCTATTTTCCCCTTCTGGAAAGGCTTCCACCCCAAAGTGTCAAGAGAATGGAATGAGCAGTTGGGACTCCAGTCACTCCCCCCAAAAAATGTGGTGTGTTAACATAAAATCCTTTCCTTGGCAACTTAAGGTAAGACAAGTGAGTTTCCACTGGAAGACTTCAGGGGCAGGCACACGTTCCTTCTGATGCCTGTGCTGGGATGGCAGTGATTTCCAGCAGAGATGCAGCAGTGGTATCTATCTAAGGTGCAGTAACTTCACCACAGCCTGGTGTCACACTCTTAGGGGGTGGACCCAACCTCATGTGCCTTCCCATCCAAAATTCCTACTAACTGCAATGGGAACATTTTCCCTGTAAAGATACAAGACGGGATGCTCACTAGAAAATTAAGTAAACACAGTGAGGGTGGCCCTCCCATAAAGACATGCAGACATGCAAAAGCTCTTTCCACTCCTTTTCTGAGCACATCTTTACAATTTCCTCATGAAGTTTTGTTGTAACAAAGCCTGGTGTTTGAAATGTGCATAACTATAATACAACATTTATACTTAGTCAAAGAACCTCCCCAAATACTAAAATCCTGCCCTAAAGTATCTACATGCCATCTACTCACTTTGAACTATCTTTGTTTGATTAATAGACAATTATACCACATTTTCAAATCCACCTACCATGAAAAAAACTGTGTTAAAGACACTCTTAATTAGACCATTTAAATAAAATTTTCAGTTCTGATACTAGATATAGTCAAACTTACCAAAATTATAATCAGCTTAATACCTTCTTTACTTTGTATGCAGGGAATTATTGTAACAAGACATAATTATTTTTATTTTGTGAGTTATAATAACTGGGAATTTTGAACATTATTCTATGACAACCCAATAGACATATAAAAAAGAAAATCAGAAATATTAATCTTTATTTTTAGAATATTATCAGAGTATTGTACATTCTGCTTGAAGAGAAGATAATCTGGCTCACTAAATATGAAAGCAAAAAATGGAACAATCTTCCCCAGAAATAAACTGCAACAAGCCCGACAAGAAAAAGCTCGAACAGTAATGAAGCTGAAAATAATCTGAACACTCACTGTTCTGCTTTTTCAGTTTCATATTAGAAATGGAGTGAAGACAATGCCGGACAATATTTTCTCCAAGAACTGATGACTACTCCCTCCACATTATCAGATCTGAAAGGAGAAAAGAAAGCCATTCTTGAAGATCAGCTGCCATCTAGTGAATGGTGAGAGAACTGTTTAAAACATTACTTTCATTTTTTTGTCAATTTAAACCAGATTCCTGGTGGAATACCTTTTTGCCACTTTGTCATTGTAAATTCTGGGGTCTGTTAATTATTCAGGAGAATGGCTATTAAAAGGTGTGCATTCCAAAGCAGAGCAAACTCAGCAAAGTTTTCTATTAAATTATAAATAAATAAGGTATTGATCCCACAGTTTGCTCAAAAAAAGCCAATCCTGTGCACTTTCAATAGAACATATTAGTGTTTTGGGGGTTTCACATGATTATACTAAGAGGAACCAAACTAACAGTGTCTTAAAGTAACATAATCAGTATTACAACAACAGACTACAGTAAAAAAATCGAAGAAGTTTAAGTTAAAAATCACTGAAATGTGCTCATCCAGCAACAATATCATACTTTTTATGCTGGACACCAAGCATGTTATTTTTATGTGTATGTTTTACTAATTTATAGATAACTAGAATAAACCCAAAAATTTTAGTAGTGTACATTTACACTGTCAAATTTCCTATGTAAGATAAGACCGCTGGGCTTCATGAATTAGTACTGCATTCCAGCTTAACATTTTCATGAAACAGGAAGTATTCCCTTGATACTTCAGGCAATATATATCTTTGCTATACTGATGCTTTTCTTATTAAAAGGAAGTAGAGGAGTTGTATAAATAAGTTGATAAAGGGTGGAACTCCCTCTTTTACTGTCTAAATTGATCCAAGAAGACCTAAAGTCCTCCTCACTAAAGCCAACAGATGCCCAAATCAATAATTCTAACAACTATTATTTGGAATTCTTTGTTACTCAAGACTAGATTTGCAGGTTTTTTCCTTCTCATAAGAAATCAGATTTTCCAGATGTTACAATAAGTCTGTTACAAAGAACAATCATAGATGAATATAGACCACTGACCTCATTGCAAATATGCACTTTTCCATATTTTTCTTGCCTAAACACAACTTCTTAAAACCAAGCAGAGAGTCTACACTTACAGTTTGAAACTCTGAAACACAAATCTGCCATTTTAAACAGAGTATGTTTTTTGTTTAATCGAGTACGTACTTGAGGGCACTCGTGTTTACGAGAACCTTTGAGGAAAGAAATAAAACAAGAGAATGTGTTTATAAGACATTGGCTTGAAAATACATTTGCCTTCTTGGAATGAAAGCTCCTTATAATCTTTTGTCTGTTCATTCTCTGGACAAACATTAGTATGTCCCACACTAAGTACCTAATAAGTCTACATATTCCATATAGGCATATTCCACATAAACATTTGCATATGTGTGCACTGTAAAACCATGCTATGAAAACAAATATTAAGTTGATATCCAGGAGTAAAGGAATAGAAAATAAACACTGCAAGGAGAAAAGTTGGTCATGAGCTGAAAGGAAATATCTCATAGGCCCTTTTGCACATAATTGGGTTTAAAGAGAAGGCTTGCTGGTTTTTGCACTGCTCGGCCCTAGGTCGTTCTGAGTTCTATTCAGCATTTTGAATTATCTGAACTGGCTCTGTTAACACTGCCTGCTTTTATTTATGGGTTACTTAAATATTTTGTGTACAGCCCTTGGTTCAGTAAGGAATGTGATTAGTCAGGCCACCATCATAAAGGTTTTCTTATGCTTCGCCCGCTGAGGCCTTCAGAATACATGCAGGAAATATGGTAGTTGTGCTGTAAACCACCTTCTCTGGTTTTCTGTGAATATAATTGTGTCTGACTGGCCTCTTGCATTTGAGATCCCAATTCTTGTATGTATGTGGTCTCAAATAAAGTCTGTATGTATTTGGTACTTGTGTGACTTTGCTTAAAATGAAGCTACTTGCAAAATAAAATTATGCACATACTAAATTTTATAGATCACAATTTTATCTTGTATCCCACAATGCTGACAGACCTCCTGGAAGGTTTTTATAAAAGTACTGCACAATTCACAGCACAATTTAGGAAGGTGGTGATGGACCAAAACTTTATACAATTATTTTTCTTAAATGCTGATTAAGTATTTGTCAGAGCAACATACTACAACAGTTCTACCAATTGTTAAATAAATATCTGTGTTTTAATTACTTGTATCAGCAGCTTCTCGAGTCAGTTGTGTGGCTTCACCCATATTTCTTTAACCAGCACCCACAGTTGACTCAACCCTGACCACTGGTGACAAAGATGCTGCCCTGAGCCAAGGGAAGCACTTGGCAGGGTCATGGGAAAGTGGAAGTCCAACTTTTGGGAACATGTTTAAGAAGTACCAAACTGACAAGCAGGAGGTGCTGAGGAGACAAAATGAGGGTGACGAAATGAGGGCAGTGAGTGATCCCTGCCATGACCAGCTCCGTGGAGAACAAGCCAAGTGGCAGTGGGAAAAGGGGGGCAGTGCATTCCTTCTGTGGAATAAAGGTATAAGAAATCTCTAGGACACATTCACCTCACAGGCAGTGCTTTGACAGCCCTTCAAAAGGGAAGGCCCAGGGAGGCAGCTGAGGCAGGATGTGAGGGAGGTGGTGGACATGGAGAACTGTGTCCAGTTCTGAGCCCCTCATCTCAGGAAGGGCAATGAAGATGGTGAGGGGTCTTGCACGCAAATCCAGTGAGTAGCAGCTGAGGGAGCTGGGGATGTTTATCCTGGAGAAAAGGAGGCTCAGCTGGGACCTTATCCCTCTCTACAGTTCCCTGAAAGGAGGTTGTAGCCAGGTGGGGGTCGAGCTGTTCTCCCAGGCAATAAGTGACAGGATAAGAGGACAAGCTGCGTTAGGGGAGGTTTAGGTTGGACATTTGGAAGAATTTCTCCACAGGACGGGTGGTCAAACACTGGAATGGGCTGCCCATGGAGGTGGGGGAGTGACGTCCCCGCAGGTGTTTAGGGAAGGACTGGACGGGGCACAGTGAGCTCCTTTCCTAACACAGTCACTTCGATTCTGCGTTGGCTGAGGCGGGGCCTCGCCCGCCTGCTCCGCTGTGGCGCATGCGCGGGGCCGCCTGTCAGCGCGGGAGTGGGTCCGCTCCATCCCGGGCGGGACGTTCTCCGCTGCCGGCTGTCCCATCCCGGCCGGGACATTCCCGGCTGTCCCATCCCGGGGCGGGAATGTCGGGGGGCCGCGGTGTCCCTGGCGGTGGCGGCGGAGCAGGAGCCCCGCGGGAGAGCGAGGCGCGGTGAGTAAGCAGCCGGCCGGGCCCGCGCGGAGCAGGGCGGTCGCTGCCCTCGCCCGCGGAGGGAGCGATGGAGCCGACGGCCTTGAAGCTGCTTCCACCGGACCCGGGAGATGAGGGCACGCAGCGCTGCCGGCTGGGACCTGCCGCGCTGTCCTTGCTGGGGGCCCGGCTCGGCGCCCCGCTGAGGATCTCGCTGCCCGGCGGGTGCTGCGTGTGCACGGCGTGGCCCCGGCACGACCTGGCCGACGGGTTCCTGCAGGCCGACCTGACCTGCAGCACCGCGGGCCTGGCCCCGCCGGCCCTGCGCGGGCTCTCGCTGGATGTGCGGCAGCTGGAGCCGCTGCCCCACCGGCGGCTGGGGAAGGCGGCGGTCAGGGTGGTCCTCAGGAGCGCCGCGCTGAAAAAGTCGACTCCCAGAGCGGTGTTGCAGGAGACGGTCAGAGAACTGTTGAGAAATGTTTATGTTTTGCCTCGTTACGTTGTAACTGTTGCCCCAAGTCCCGAAAATCCCGTGGTGTATATTGAAATACTGTCTGCAGACTCTTTGGTGGAGGAAGCTGGATTGATAACCCCCCAAACAAGCATAAAAATTAAGGAGGTGATCACTTTAGAATGGTACAGACATTTGTCAGAAGGCATTGCAAAAACTTCAGTTGCAGGACTAGATGATGTGGGAAAGTCTTTGAAAGAAATGATCGATCTGCCTTTGCGCTTTCCAAAAACTTTTAAGAACCTGGGGCTTTCTGTCCCTAATGGAGTGCTGTTAATTGGGCCCCCAGGTGTAGGGAAAACTCTTATGGTAAAGGCAGTAGCAGAAGAGGTGGGTGCATTTCTGTTTGGCGTCAGTGGCCCAGCCCTCCATGGCTCAAGGCCAGGAGAAGGTGAAGAGAATTTGAGGAGAGTCTTTGAAAAAGGCAGAGAGATGTCACAGGAAGGCCCAACCATTCTCTTCTTTGATGAAATTGATTCTTTGTGCCCGAAGCGAGGAAGTTCAAGCAATGCTCCTGAAGATCGGATCGTTGCTCAGCTGCTCACGCTCCTGGATGGTGTAAGGAGCGAGGGTAAGATGGTCATTGTGGCAGCAACAAACAGGCCAGATGCCTTAGACCCTGCACTCAGAAGACCTGGCAGATTTGACAGAGAGGTAAATAAACCCTCTTATTCATACACACTTTTGTCTTTCCTTATTGATGTGGAAGTGGGCTGTTGATAAAGTTTAATGTCTACTGGTCGTGTTTCATAGTGGGATTCTGCAGCCTTGAGCCAGGTATCCCATTGCTTTGCTTTGCTTCAGCTTGGGTAAGGTGGGATTTTTTTTTACCCGGGACACTGAGAACTCGGTATACTTCAAAATAGACAAGGGGATTCTTTATGCTTCTTTATCTTTACCTGTCCTTGAGGGGTTTGTTTGCTTACAGATGCTTAGCCTTACAGGCTTAAATTTTTTCATTTAAATTCTAGATTGAAGATTGATGCATCTCTCCTTAAAGGTTTATTGTGACAGAGAACTAGTAACCTCTTGTGTCAAAAATTCTATTCAGATTTCAGTAACAGGTTGAGTCTGTTCTGGAAAACTTCTGTTAGCCTAGTAGCCAAGAGAAGAAAAACACAGTTGTGCAACTTACAGTTCTTTTGCTTGTGTTGTTTATTTTTCTAGCTAAACCCACTTTTGGATCATCCAGTTTAGTCAAGATCTTTAATGCTTTCATAATTGTAATCTTCATTATTTTCCAGGATTTATAGATGGTTGAGATATATTTTTATGAAGGTGTTTCACCAGGGTTTTAATAATGTATGAGTGTTTACCTCATTGATTTATTTTTCCCTGTCATATGAATCTAATTTAGTCCTTGTGATGCAAGGAAATTATTATTTCAATGTTGAAATTACCTGAAAATGGGACTTGGTAGACACTAGCTGACAGTGTCTTATGAACAACTGTTTGTACAAACACTGTTCACTTGGAAATTAAGTGGTATTTTAAATATTTGTCATTTGTATAGTGCTGCTAATAGGTTTTTTGTAACAATATTTAGTTCAATTATAAGTATATAGAAATCTTTAGTAACCAATATAAAACAGAGATGAAAGCTCTATAAAATAAGTATAGCACAATATTTACTTAAATTTTTTGTTTATTATATTTGGTTTAGGTTATTATTGGGACCCCAACAGTCACACAAAGAAGATCCATCCTGCAGTTGCTTACGTCTGATATGCCCATTTGTGCAGACGTTGATTTGGCTCAGCTGGCAGAGCTGACCCCTGGGTATGTGGGAGCTGACCTCACAGCACTCTGCAGGGAAGCTGTTATGCAGGCTGTGTCCCACAGCTCCTTGGTATGGCTGCACATCACTCAAGGACAATGTCATTAATGTATTTACCACCTCTTCCTCATTAATGCTCAGCTTTACTCGAAAAGCTCAAGAAGTTGAAGACTCAGAAATTAAAATACTAAAACCACCAAATATGTTACAAATGTATATATGCCATTTTTTCTAGTCCTTTCAGTTCTCACCTGAAAGGACTGTTTTCTACTTTCTGAGTGAAAAGTTTTGCTGAAAGTTTTTATCCTCTTCCTCTTTAGAATTGTGCAAAGCAGACATTTTTGTCTTTTTCAGCAAAGTAAACTGTGTCCACCAACACTCTCTTTTGAAGCTACTTAATTTCGTTTATTATTTAATTTAATTTAGAATTCTGCTTTCTAATAACTGCAAATTAAAGTTAGGTTGATACACAAGTGTATAACAGCTAGTGAAAATAACTACTATCATCTGGGTTGTATGGCTGGATATAAAATTCTTGTAGACACAAGGTATATAACTGCCCAGTGTGCAGAAATTTAACCTCTTAGCAATTCTCTAATGCTATTTCTATAATGCCTATTTCTTAATACTCCTGTCTCTATTCTGGCTTTTACAAAAATTGTGAGATACATGTTTGATGTAGTTTTTCATCTGCAATGGCTGAGCAGAAATTTAAAGCCATATTTGTAAAATTTCCAAAGTCAAAAGCATCTGCAGAGAATGGTAGAGCCCTCTGTCTTCACTTGGGTAGAAAAAAAGAGAGCATAGCACTGAAAATAATAAAATTATTTGGGCCTGGTATCTCAGAAAAGAATAGATGGACAAATGAAAGTAATGAATAAGTAGATGGCCCCTTTGCAAGTGCCTTTGTAAAATACATCTTAGTTCTGTTACTGTATCTGTAGTTTAATAATGTTATTGTATAGCATGTTTGAGATAAAATGTGTTGCTTTCTTCAGTGTGGTGAAAATGGATGTTGCAGCCTTTTTATTTCTATTCAGAAGATTGTATGATTTATTGTGTGGTAACCCTCAAATTAGCAACCATTTGATTTAGCACATCACTGTCTACTGGAGCTATAATTTAGGGAATAGTAGTTTTCTCTAAAACATTAATTTCTGTTAAAATAGATTTTTCTTGTGTAAAATCATGCCATTAAGGAGAATGTATTTTACTTTGTGTTGCATTTTTGCATCTGCAGTTCTCTAGGCTCATTAGGGCAGGAATTGGCTTCTTTATTAGTTTCATTTGGCCTTCTGTGAAGTGTTTCCACATATAATGCAGCATTTAAGTATTACCTAAAAATATTGTTAATATGCTTTATCTGTTTGGGGTTTTTTTCAGGAGTCAACTGAAACTGAAACCATGATTAACATGGGAGATTTCCAAGAAGCTTTTAAAAAAATTCAACCATCCTCTTTTCGAAGTGCAGTTGGACTAACAGAGTGTAAACCTGTGACTTGGGAGCAAATTGGTGGTCTTGAAGATGTAAAATTAAAGTTAAAACAGGTAACATGTAGAACAAATTTAGATGAACAGCTGATTTCTAATAAGCATATGCTCCAAGTTTTTCTGTATGCTAATTATGAAAATTAATTCTCTTGCTAATTACCTGATTATAAACTGTATTTTAAACATTTTTATACTACATTAAGTTATTACAATGTTTGAGCTAGAGGCCTTCCAGTTACAAGATAATAATATCTTGTAACACCAAGCATAATACTATCATGGGAAAATATGCGTGTTTTTTAGTAGCTGAAAAATACTTAACTTGTAGCCAGATAATTTGTGAATATTCCTGAATATTTAGCCAGAGGTGGCTCTTGTGTATCATCTCTCCATGACTGCCTTTAGTCTGCTTCCATCTGCTTCAGATGGAAACTTTAAGAAGGGGGAATTATATGAAGAAAGACTAAATCAGTATTCCCTGATTTCAAATTAATGTTTGTATCAAGGAGAAGAAGCGATGTGCTTGGCAGTTTTTATTGATTGCCTATGAACTGTAGTCTTGTTACTAAGAATTTCATCCCTTTTTTCTGTGTTGGCAGAGTATTGAGTGGCCTATGAAGTTTCCTCAGGCATTTGCTAGGATGGGCCTGTCCCATCCCAAGGGTCTCCTCCTCTATGGGCCTTCTGGCTGTGCCAAAACCACGCTGGTGAGGGCTGTGGCCACCAGTTGTCACTGTTCCTTTCTCTCTGTAAGTGGTGCTGATTTGTTCTCACCTTATGTTGGAGACTCGGAGAAGATTTTGTCTCAGGTACGGTTTTTAATTTGTGTAAGGCCTATGGTTTATTTTTGCTTGACTTTTGTAAAGTATTAGTTAGACCTAAATTTTGTTATTGAAAAGATCATGGAGGTCTCATCTGATTGTTAAATAGAAATGGCTTAGAGATTCACATTTATATAAAAGTGAGAATCTATCCCTAAAATTATAAAGTTTTAAACTTTATAAGTATTTCTAGTCTTTTGTTTTCAGTTCATTTAAGCATATAAATAAGAAGCAGAATTTGCCTATAGTAAATGTAAGCCAGAACAGCTCTTGTGAGTCGTTATAAATGTACCTTTAAACTTAAGTAAAATACAGAGTATATGCAACTGAACTTTTTTCACCTTACCTGGTAGACTGCATGCATCAATGTTTGACTTTATTAACATTTTTTAAAAAGGTTTTCCGGCAAGCAAGAGCAAACCCTCCAGCAATAATATTCCTGGATGAGATTGACACTCTCCTGGGGTCTCGGTCACACGGCAGAACTGGCCCTGGGGTCTCACAGCGGGTTCTGTCTGTTCTCCTCAACGAGTTGGATGGTGTTGGGCTCAAAGTTACAGAAAGAAGAGGAGGCAAATTACAGCTTGAGGGGCAGTGCCAAGAACAAAGTGATGATGAGGAAAGAAAGGTATTTATGCTCCCTTTTCTGTAGAAGAATGATAAATGCTGTCCACTTGTTCCAAAAATTTTACTTGTTGGCATTCACACTTCTTAAACTTAAAATCCTCAAGCTTAAAAACGTGCAAGATGCTCTTTTACTCTGCCATAATATCTAATTTTTAGAAAATACTGTATATAGGCTGCAGACTGTTTTTATGTACACTGTTCCTCGAGGAGACTGTTTGAACAAAATACCCACACAGGCTAATGAGCATTACTAATTGGTGTTCATCTTCTGTCACAAAAATCCTTTCCTTGACACTACAGTAATTTTTTAGACTGACTGTGCTATTTTTACTCTTATTCAAGTTCCTCCCTGAACTTACTTTTTATAAGCATTTCCCCTACTTCATTTGTAGTTCTTTCTCATACATACTGCATACAAAAGCAGCACAGTTATGATCAGTTATTTACTTAAACAAAAAGTTGTACCTTCGCTTTTCACTGAATGGTTCCCAATATTTAATATTTAGCTTTTTTGTATTTAAATTTCTTCTTCTTATGATACTCTTTGGGGGAATATTAAAGTTCAGTTAGTACAGTTTCAGAATTGCAGCATACTGAATTTTTGCATATAAAAGATTTTTTGTTGCAATCTGGCCAGAGAAAAGCCTCTGTTTACTGTCAAGGCAGATACTAACCATATTTCCTCTTTTTAATCTGATCTGCACCAGGGCATTTTTTTACTTCAAGAAAAATTAAATATTAATATTGAAAGGAAAATAGCTACATGTAAAGGTACATCGTCTTTTTGCCCTTCCCTTCTTCTCATTAGTTTTTAACGAATCTTTAATTATTATCTCTCTTTACCATGTTGCACTGATATGTTTGTATGATCTCTTACTCAGCTAGAGTTTCAGGAAACTTTGAACAAAGATTTCATGGTAGTTGCTGCAACAAATAGACCAGATATGTTGGATGATGCCTTATTGCGTCCTGGAAGGTTGGACAAGATGATCTATATTCCACCTCCAGATCTGAAGGTGATGTATTTATTACACATCCTTACGTGGCTTTAAAGGTAGAGATATTAATTGCCAGTAGACTTGACTTTAAGAGCAAAGGGGGCATATTCTTGTAATATATTTAACGATGGATGATTCACTGAAGATCAGTCACCAAACTCAAGGTATAATGAAGAAATCTAAAAAGGAATAAAGACACTTGTATTTTAAGTACCTGTAACATTTTAATTGGTGCATGTATTTATAGTATTGCATAGAGAAATAAGGGAAAATTTGTGTTTACAAAATCAAGCTACAGTTTAGGAAATACCCATAACAAGTTGTCTGGCCTGTTCCCAAGGGTAGTGTAGCTACTTGTCCTGAGCTTCACAGTAGCTACTTGGCCTGACCCAAAACAGGCCAAATATGGACTCATCAGTCTAAAGTACTGTGTTTTCATGAAGTAATGAGTAACTGTGAATAACAGACTTTAAAATATGAGATAACTGTAAGAGTAGGTAATATCTCCATTAATAGCATTTTATTCTTCCACTGAAACCAGGTAATTTTGGTATTCTTCTGGATTTTCCTTTGTTCTAATTTCAAATTTGTAACTGCTTTGGAGAAGGATTAATTTTTGGTGTGTTTGGTTTTGTTTTCTTCTACAATATACACCAATTTACAGGGAAGACTTTCCATTTTGAAAATCTGCACTGAAAAAATTCCATTGGATACTGATGTGTCACTACAAGATGTGGCGGCCCTAACAGACCTCTTCTCTGGAGCTGATATTGAAAATCTGTGCAAGGAGGTAAGAAATATTCCTGGCTCATCTGTGAAATAAACTGTAAATGAAAACTTTCAATGAAAAAGGAGAGCTAACTCATAGATGTTACCAAGCCATCAGTAGTACAGATTCTTTCACAGTTTGTATTGAAAATATAAAGAGTAAAACGGGAGAACTGAACAAGGGTTAATTCTTTACATAAAAAAGCCAAATAAGAATGAAATCTTTCTGTGATAATTTAATAGAAGTTAAGGAACTGTACTACCCTTTATTTTGTGTGGCTCTCTCTAATCCATGCTCACATCTGGGTGAATTGTACTCTGTGTACTGCAGGCAACTGCAGCATTTTTAGCTGAAATTAGCATGCAATGTCAAGACCAGAGAGAAGAAAACTAAGAGAAATCTAGAATTTGAGAAGAGTTGTATAAAAGAGAGAAGACTAGGAAGAAAATCCAAATATATAAGTGATCAAGGATATATTGTCTAATCCAGACAGAAAAAGTGAATGAAGTTATAGTAACCTTATTTGATGTTTATCTGTTGTTAAATAACCATAAATTATACATTGCTGGTTTTAGATGCTATAGCTAAGACTTTGTTCCTTGTAAGATATTTTAGAACACTTGCAATAAATTCATTGCAATTTAAAACATAATAAGCACTTCAAATTGTTATTTTTTTTTCTTTTAAAGGCTGCTTTGTTGGCTTTGCAAGAGAATGGACTTGAAGCAACTGCTGTAAAACATGAGCATTTTGTGAAATCATTGAAGACTGTAAAACCATCCTTAAATAGAAAAGACTTGGAATTTTATGAAAAATTTTATAATCAAGAATTAACCTCTTGAATCAAAAAGGAGTGGCATAGGTATTTTTAAATATATTGCAAAGATTTTGAAAAGGCTTACATCTTTCCTGCTTTTTAATACTGTACTTACTGGAGGTTTCAGGGTGTATGAAATACAGTAAAGTTTCACTTGTCAAAGGTCTGTAATTTCGATAATGAATAATAAATTAAAGTCTTGTTTGCTTTGGATAGGTTTACATCTGATGAAACAAGTAATTGAGATACTTAGATAAAGCACTGTGGAACAGCTTAGTGTTACTGTAGATTTCCCAGTTTTCAGTATAAACACTGGCATCACGAGAGTATTTAATTTATAATGTGTTGAGAAGTCTTCATAGGACAGTGAATATTTAAAAAGTAGAAAAGCTTTCACATGTTCAATAGGAGGAAGTAAGTCCCATTCTGTATAAAATGTGAAGTGTTTTATATGTGCCTATTCACAGGCTTACTTTCTTACAAGCAGATTCCAAAATATAGTGGCAGTGAAAAAGTTGTCAGTGCTTAATACCTTGTTGTAGGTTTGGAAGTCTGGAGTTTTAGGAGTAATTTTAGGTCAGTTACTGCTTACTGTACAAACATTTGGATTGAGTAAGCAGGTAAGAAGTATGCAATCAGCTCAAACTGTAATAATTTCTTTAGAGAAGGTAGTTTGCTTTATAACAATTTGTGCAAAATTCTTTTCCTTACCTAACCATTCTTTGTCAGTATATTTTTGTAAGTCACCTTCTAAAATACAGTTATATCCAAGGAAATTGGTACTACGTGTAAGTGTGCATTTTAACTTTCTAGAGTAGGAAGGGGTTTATTATTTTTTATTATATTTTCCTTTTCCCAATGAAAATATTTGTGAACTAAATACACCACTCTCAAAGATAGTTCCTTATTTCAGCTGAGGTTTGTGAGCTATAAACCCATTAACAAATATTTCTTTCTTATAACAGGGACAGTAGGGACTGCACTGAGTGTGGTTTATAGTGAGATGGATCACAAAAGGCAGTTCCAAGGCAGTTGGTGATTGTGGAGGGCCAAAGGCCGTAGTAGAAGCCATTGTAACCTAGGAAAGGGTTTAGCTGGGTGGCTTTGATCACCATTTTATGGAAAGGACTATCCTTATTGCTTTATTGCTGGCAACAACCTAGCAATGCTTGTGAACTTCCCAAACACCCAAAGGTTTCTCAGCAGCAGTGCTGAGAAAAAGTGTTAAACCCTTCTAGGTAATTGTTTTGCTTCCCAGTGTTTGAGGGTTTGTATTAGAATTGCCAGACCTGACAGTTGTTGTGACAGCAGAATGCTGCCAGTCCTTTGCCTCAAAGACCCTGCTGCTTAACTTCCATACTTGCTCCCTAGAGGGACCAACAGAACTACTTGTGCCCTGTCGTGTCTGTTCCTTGCTGCAGGGAGCCAGCAGAGCGTTGCAGTAACAGCAGCCTTTTCTTCCTCTCACTGCTTTCCAGTGGGCAAGAGAGAAGGGGAGAAATATGCAGGAATCATCTGCTGGCAGCACTGACCTCCAGCCTGTCCCTGGTAGGAGTTTTTCCCAGACAGGGATATTGGGAAGAGATGAGAGCTGTGTAACACAGCAGAGTGATGGGAACATGGGGCTGGGTTAAGCTTTTGCTGCAGCAAAGGTGACACGGTGACATTGGGGTCCTCTTTGGGTCGCTATAGGCGCCTCTCTGAGCTCTGGAAGAGACAGACCCTGGCCTCACCTGGGCGTTTGCCTGGGTGTGCTGTTCTTTGGGCAGCTGCCTGGAGGCGGGGACAGACAAGAAGACAAAGGAGAAATGGAGAAGAAAGGTTTGAGTGCTGCAGTAACGGAGAGAGAAGGAGTTGCGAGAGGAAGGCGGGAAGAGCACTCGCAGCATCCCGGTCTCCCGGCAGCTCCCTTTGGGGCCGGGAACTCCTTAGGGCGCTCCCCTGCGCCTACCGCCGCGGGCCAGGGGGTGGCACTGCTGGCCCGGCCCGGCCCGTCCCGTCCCGTCCCGCCTCCGCGCCCCGGGGCGCGGTGCGGTGCGTATATAACGCGGTGCGTGTGCAGCGCGGGGAGCGCCCGTCCCCGCAGCCCGGTACTGTCCTGCCCCTCTCCCCCGGGGTGCGGTAACACGAACCGCTTGTCCCAGGTCCGCAGCCGCCGCCACGATGAACAGGAGCATCTTCCAGATACTTAAAACAAAAAGAGAAGTAAGTTTTCCCAGAAGCCGGGGCCGTGGTGCCCGCCCCTGGGGAGGGATGCGGCTGGCGCGGGCAGGTGCGCCGGGGCTGCCGCTGGATAGAGAGCACCTTCCCGGGGAAGTGGAGAGAGCGAGGGCCCCGTGTTAGAAGAGGTGGTGTGAAGAGTAATACAGAGGTGTAATATGCGCTAACAGCTAATGCCACCTGAGTGCTGTATAACCCCTGCTCCCCCAGCTCTCAGCCGGGACACCAGTTCAGCTCTTTCTCCGTTTTGTCTTTCAGCTCGTTCCCCTGGCTGGAATACTGTCCGTGGCAGCAATTGGGGCGTTCTCTTTTAGCATGTATTCCCTATTCGGCAAATCTGATGTGATGTAAGCAAAATACTTCTTGTTTGGTGCTCACCCTAACCTTTCTGTATTCGGCAGAAGTATTTGACCATCATGTTTTACATCCAAAAAAAAAAAAAATCCATGTTCATGTTCCAGACTACTGGTAACACCTGAAATATCTGCAGATAGTAAATAGCAAAGAAATTAATTCGTTTGGACAGTAGTCCAAATTATTTCCTAATTTTTGATTTAATATTTTTCTTTGCTTTAGGTGTAACAGGTTTTAAATGCTCCTATCAAGAATTTCAAATAATCAGATAGGTAGATGAGATGCAGATATGTTGCAACCAGACTATTAACTTGTATATGAAGAGCAGCATTGATAATATTAACTTAAGAGAGTATTCTAGTGGCTTGGCTAATAATTGGAATTAAGTCCTATACTCTTCAAGCATTGGGAAGTTTATTTATTTACTTTAAAGTGATCGGAATAGGCATTTTAGCTGCCAGAGTCCCCTTACTTTGTGTCCTTACTCAGTTCTGATTTTTCAGCTTGCTTCCCTTACCATGACACATGATACATGAGTGTTGGCTTGGTTGGTCCTTTGGAAGATGCACATAAAGCAAGCCATTGTTGATTCTACCCAGAACACCCAAACCTGTAAACTTGTGTTTTGGGGAACTCCTTATTTAAGTAAATAGCTCTGCTGATGATAGGCTGCTCATATAAGAAAAACGTACGGAAGAACACACCTTAAAACATAGTACCTGTCTTGTTTTATCTTCTTTTAAAGGATTAACAGGAGTGGCAATCCAGAACCCTGGGAAAATATTGATCCTACCAAGCCTCAGAAGGTAATTTTTACATGCAATATGGTCAGTATAAATAGCATATATTTCCAACACAGTGAGTAACTTGTTTTAATGTGTAAGAACTAGCAAAATATTCATGAGGAAACACAAGTAAAGCTGATGTATATCTAATTAATAGTAGAAACAAAATTTTAGTTCATTACTTTATATCTTCCCTGTGTTACCTAATGATAGGGAATCAGCTATTACATTCTAGGTCTGATCTTGAACTTATGGTGCTCTTCTAGTTGCTGTGCTGTGTCTGTTCCCACTGCCAACATCCATTTACTCAAATCCATTGATAACACTGGAAATTTGGAGTACAGAGGAAGGCTGTTTCCCCTTGTTCCTGAGTTACAAAATTGACTAAGAATATTTAGGTACTGCAGCCTGAAGGAAAAATATCTTTATTTAGTAGAGCATCTACTATAAGGAAAAATAAAATTCTTTGGCATTATTATCTATGTAATATCCAAACTATTTTGTTCAACAAATTATTATATATGTCATCAGTTGCTATTCTTGCATACCTCTGAAAGAAAAATGTAAAGCTACTAGAAATTCTTCACCAATAGGTTGATGTATGACTTGGGGGGTGTGGGAGTGGAGTAAATGCCCACTGGGATTTTGCTAACTTTCATATTTTCCATTTCTTCCAGCTATTAACAATCCAGCAGAAATGGCAGCCTATAGAAGAGCTGGAAAATGTCAAAAAGCTTATGAAGTGAGAAGTTTCTGTTGCCTCAAAAAGGTGCCCTATGAATCTAGTGGAATCACTTCTGCACAAACTTGACTACTGAAATCAGTGTGCGGAAATGCTTCTGCTACATTTTTAGGGTCTTCCTCCATTTTTTTGGACTCTGAATGAGGAGTTTCGTGTTGCTTTAGAAGTTGACATACAGCATCCACATAGTCCAAAAAAACTGACTCAAATATTCATTTTCAGTAGGCATTTCATGCCAAATGTTGAATATTCAGATGGTAATTATAGATGGAAAAAGCCTTCACAGTTTTTGTAGAATTTTGAGATTTTTTTCAAAATACATTAGTTTTGTTATTTTATAAATTTTTAATGAAATAAATTCTAAATTTTTACAACATTTTATGTAAATTCCGTAAATGGAGGTTACCCAAAAGCCCTTCTAAACTGGAATTCCTGGTCTGCTTCCTCTCTATGCTGTATTTCAATGCAGTATATAGACCAAAGTCATATCCAGAGGATGTCTTTGTATGGCAACATATGTGGTCATAAAGTACACTTGCATTTCTTGTCTACATTAGATGTGATGACAGTTTAAGTCAAGACTAATGTTCTGCTGCAAATACTCAAACTTATATATGTGCTCACCTTAACCCACTGAGGAGTCCAGTAGGTTATTTAAGGGTGTGTTTGAGACTGCAGGATTAGAACTGAATAATTGAGCATGGCTAATACAGAAATGAAAATGAGATCATTTCTGTTGTGTTTAAATATTGTTCATGTTTAAATTTAGAAAAAGTTACTAGAATTAGGAAACTTGCATTATCCCAAACAATGTTAATTTCTTCTTTTTGTGCAAGGTTGTTCAAATGCAAGCTCAAATGTACTGCACAGTTAACAATATTTTTAAACATTTCTACGTGCTGTTAGGAACATCTACTTTATCAAATAGAAACTAACATATTAAAATTAGAAATGATTCTATGAAGAGACACTTCCTTTCTAAGCATCTGTGTGTTTTCTTATGGGTTGGCCAGGGAAAGAATGTAATGGGCAGACCCCCAGTAAATTAATGAGACAAGAAATGCATCCAATGATAGAACAGTCCTTTTGTAGATATCTTCTGTATTTTTGTAGATATTTTCTATCTTCTAAGCAGTTTCACAGTCTGTTACTCAGTTTCTTTTACAATGGACGTTCAGAAGGGAGATCAGTTTCTGTCAGGAAGAAAGCAAAAGTGAAACAACTGCTAACTGGAAAAAGTCCCCCTGAGTGAGTAATAGTCAAGTGCTTTAGGTTGCTCTGCTGCAGCAAAGACAAACTTCAGCTAGAAAAGCCGCTTCCCAAATTTCAAGGTGGCTTGGTTTCAGAAGCTTTATGTTTTCTTCAGCTGAGGAAAAAAAAGTTAAAATGTTACTTTATCAGATTCAGCGTAAATATTTATCAAGTAATGATGACTCAGCAGCTTTTATGTTTTAGAACGAGAGGAACTACTAGTTTTCAGAATACCTTCTTAGCTTTCATTTTAAGGAATGGCATTACAAGGTTGGATAGCATAGAACCACAAAGATACAGTGCTCTGAGGAGTACAAGTTTAAAGTATTTTAATACAGAAAATATTTCAAAATATTTCTCTACTTTATTCTATATTTCCATATTTTTACTGGACTGTGCCAAACAAAACAAAGTGCTGTGCTCTGAGTTGATGCATGAATTAAATGAGTGTGTTCTTCAGTACACCAGTTGTATGGTCTGTAAATACTATGAAATAAATGTAAGTAATTTTGATGTCATTTTTGTATTTAACTACTTTTCAGTAATGATTCCAGTAACATATTAAGCAGTATGACTGCTATCAGTCATGGGTTGTTGCTTCTCTCATCCTGTCCTGAAGCATAACAGCTTTGGTAATAAACTGTTTTGCCTTGTTAGCTGCTCTGTTTTTTGTTTTTTGATATAGATTTGTTGGGAGGGTTGTCACATAATGTGAGAAATCAAAATATTTTTCTGCACTTCAAAAAGATTGTGAGTGTTATGAAAGTTCTTGGGATTTTGTGTCTTCTCTGACTGTCCCTAAAAGTCCGTCTCTTGCATAGGTGAGGACTTTTGGAGAGCACACCAAGAAAAATTACTGTACCTCCCCAGCTCAACTACTATGTGTATAGACATAAATCTATACACACAATATACAAATTATTTCCTTGTTCTACAACCAGTAAAGATTCAATTGGCTGAATTCTATGAGCTGATGTTTATCAGAAGAGTAAGACTTCCCTGTCCTGTGTTAAGCAAATCCATGACTTCTTATTCCATGGACAGTTTAGAGGTTATTGAAGTAATTTACAACTTTTTTCCTTCTCTCCATTTTGTCTCCTACTCCATTCTGTTCTTTGGGTTGGGTTGGGTTTTTTGGTTGTTTTTTTTAAACAATGGCTATCTTTGCTCACCAATTCTAGTACTTTTTCAAAGAACTGTATCACCTCCAACTTTCATATTAATTACAAAGTTTAATTAAAATGCTCACTGGCTTGTTAGAGTTTCAAATATAGATTAGAAACCATTAGAAATGTTTTTTATAGTTCTAATCACCATTAGAAATGCATCATTAGAATCTATGGTCACATTTTTCTAATTTTTTCTAAGTAGTCTATTGGTAAATACCTCTCTGGAAGAGAAGAAGAATAGGAGCTTGCTTTCTGCAGTGTACGTGCAATCAGTTACTAATTTTTGTTATTACAGTCGTACTTGAAGGACTTAAAACTGCAGATCTCGTGCTGTTGTGGTTACCAGAGTGCTGTATGGAGTTTTCAGTTTGAGGGTTTTTTGCCTATGACAGCCCTGGTGTCAGCATTTCTCCTTCTGATGTCCCGTAGCCCCTGTATTTCTCTGCCACAAGGTGCAGTTAGTATAGTACTGCACTGTCTGGTTACTTCATCGCCATTCTGCAGAAAATAGTAACTTACAGAGGGGGCTGATGCAACTGTTAAAGGAAATGCTTCATCCTGCAGTTGTCGCCTGTCTCAGTGCAGAGGGGGCTGTCCCCAGGACTAGCTGTGAAAAGCAAACAAGAGAAATGGGAATGATTCACTGGATCTGGCCAATATTTGGTGTGGGACACCTCCCAGAAAAGCTTTCAGATTAAACAAACAAGGCCGCACTACTCAGCACAGCTTTAGTTTGCTGTGTGAAGTCTTTGCTCTACAGCACATCGCTGCTGTACGGGAGCACATGAGATTGCCTGAAAGTGTCACTGAAATGGAAATAAAAGCGTTAGCAACGACCTGGCCTCGGGCACTGCTGTGGGACAAGGTGAGTGTTGACCTTCAGGTTCTGCTGTGAACAGGCAGCTTGTTTGCCAAAAGCTCTCTCCGTCCTAAAACAGCCATCACACTCCTGGCACCCTGCAGAGCCCTCAGCCGGGTGTGACACCCCGTCTGCAGCGCCTTCTCCTGCGCGCCTCACCCTGACCAAAGATCACCCAGGCCGTGTGATCACCGAGGCTGCACCAACCCTGTTTATGCTGTACCTTGACCTGATGAATAAGGGGTTTTGGTTTAATTAGCTTTTACCTTTAGATAATCTTGTTGTGTGTGTTTTGGCCAGCGCTGCTACTGGGAAGGTGCTGCCCTTCCTCAGGGCTTACCCAGGGCGTGCGAGGGCCCCTCACACAGCACAGGGAGCCCAGGCCTACAACAAATTTCACCCTTCTGAGTGAAAAGCTGCCCCCCAGTGTTACCCACTGCGCCTGTGGGGGGATGAGGGCGGTGTGAGAGAGCTGTAATGGGGGGTGGCAGAGCCCTCGTTAGGAGATGCATTAGCAAGTGAGAGCCCAAGAGATAGTCTGGCTTCAGGATATAGGCCATGTACTAGCCAACAAGGTTAGGAAATTAATTTAAATATACCCTCATCTATTAGCAGTGAGATCCCAACAAGGGGTTTGGTTTGTGTTTCGTTTTCATTTTAAGACATCCAAGGTTTAGCCCCAGTGCATCAGGGGCCTGGCTGGGCCTCCCCCACAGCACTGCCTTGGTGCTGGGCCTGGCTCTTGGCCTGGATTTGACCATATATAACATTCCCTAAAAGGTGTTCTGTATAAATAACTTGGGCTTCATGATGCAACATTTTTAAGGTGTAAAGCAAGTCACTTTTGTGACCTTGTTTCCATAAGGTTTACAAATGTGAATGTCTGTGAAAATTCAGATAAATGTGCTTCCAGTTTTACCAGCTGTCAAGCAGTAGAAAAATCACTCTCTTCAACTTGAAACATTTGATCTAGAATATTATTAGACTCTGGTATTACTTGCTTGCTGTCTCTCACACCCTCCTCCTATTTTCTACTGACACTCCTTTCTTCTTTCACTTACTGGCACATATTTTATTCTTGCCAAATCTTTTTCTGTCTCACCCATAAAAACAAACATATCAGAAAAATTTAACATTTTTCTTGGCCTAATTTATTTCTACTACTTCTACAATTTGATGGTGCACTTGCATTGTGTTCCTGAAAGGTACACATGTCAAATGAGTAGATTAGAATATAGTTAGTCTGGTGGTTTGAATTCAGAAATTAAGCAGAAAAGGCCCTACTTGTAATGCTTGTCTTCCTTCTCCCTCCCCCTCTTCTATTTTGCTTTATTTATGCTGGTGGGATTGTAATAAATGCACCATTGGAGGTAAAAAAAGAGGATCCTTACTAGTAACAGTAAGGATGCATAGATTGTAAACTTTTCAAGAAGTCTATATTTTCAGTATGTGCATAAATAACAGAAATACTTAAAAACTGCCTTTCCATTTTTTAAAAAATGAAGCAGAAATTTGGGTCATAGACGTAAACATGCCTAAAGACTCACGTAAAAACATTTGCAGTTTTTCTTTTGATTTTTTAACATATTAACATTATATTAGGTAGGGAGGGTCCATTCCACTGAAAGCTCTGTCTTAATTATGCTGCTGCAGAAAAAATAAAGACCATATCTGCTAATAATATTATAGGAGACACTTCCTTACCCACTTCTATCAAAATATCTCTTGTTTTGAGTAAAGGTTGTTCTGTTAGTGAAATTCAATTCACCTGGTTGCTTCCTAGCAAGGAAATGCCAAAAGAACTTGTTCATGTTCTGTAACTCCAAAATTGAAGTGGTCAGGCAGGTCTTAACCCTAAGCACTATAAATCATTGTGATTCCTGTAGCATTGCAGACTGTGATAGTGCCAGTCCAGGCAATAGCTGTGAAACACTTTTTTCCATTCATGTATTTTTTGAGTAATTAGAAAACATTTCTTTTAAGTTCAAACTCCCTTCACCCTCACTCAGCCAGACTTGCTGACTTCCCTGACCCCAAGTGTTGCTGAAGCAGGAGCAGGAGCTGATAGGTCTTGAACTTGGGACTTTTATCACAGCAATTGATTTTTAAAGCAGAATTCCCCGCTGCTGTGAGTGGGAATGCTGCACAGACATTGCTGTTACCAGATCATGGTGAACTGAGGAGCTACAGACTCTGGAGGACAAGTCATTAGGATACAGCACCAAAAATAGACGGTGGGGACCAGAGCTCTGTAGCAAACTTGTCAGCATTGCCTGAGGGAACACACACTGAATCATGCAGTCACGAGGCAGAGCTGCCTGCATCCCACTTCATGGTTACAGCTGTTCTCTAGAACTCTTTGGTTTTCAAGCCACTTTCTATCATTTTACTCATCTGTATGGTATTTGGCATGACACCAATCTGTTCTGCTACACGAGAGGTGGACTGGTAGGGACTGTGGGCTTGAGGGCCTCGTGCAGGGAACTGTGTTTCATCTCCAGAAAGTACTGCTTTGGTGAAAGTACTGCTTGTCTCCCAGCTAGATTGTTAGACAGGTTGTTAACAGCACAATGTTTGTGTAAAGCTCTTTCTCTTCCTATTTCAGTATTGTACAATATGTGAATTTTTAATTGCAAAGTGCTGTATTAGCTGAGTTAATCAGAAAGCCACACAAGTTTGAAAAACTTCTTACATGAAAATAAATGTGTTTAAGCTTTCAACCTTAGCAAAACTTTCACATTCTTGATTTCCTCTTATGTGTCACTTCTTTAATTGAATTAAATATATTTCCAGTAGGCAGGTAACTAATAAACACCATTCTTTACTTGATGCTGCTGCTGCTGCACAAATAAGGAAGTACATGCAGAAAATCCCGATTAATTGTAATCCCTGGTAGTAACAGAAGTGTCTTATCAGTTTGACAAAGAAAAGCAAAGTCATCTACTGGTAATAAATCATTGATCACTACAATAAAACAAAGGGAAAGGTGTTTTCCTATTAAAGCTGTTAAGAACATTTGATTTAATGATGCAGCTCTCCTTTCTGCTGCAATTTCCTTTATAATTCAGTGAAGCCTGAATATCTTTTTTAATGACTGTTAGCATTATTAAATAAGATGTTTACATTGTGCTGCCATTACTGTGTTTATTTGTCCTCTTGTGAAAGGCTTTGAATGAAACACGCGACAGTCAGAAAAATGAATTTGCTTCAGAAGTGCAGCATCCACCTTGCTCCCAAAAACAGAAATCCACAGCACAATCCTAGTCACAATGACTTGCACTTCTGGTCTTTGCCTCATTGCCAAACTCTTAGCCATAATTTCAGCATTACAATAGCATGCTGTACAAAGTAAATTTAGAAAAACATTATTTTGAAGTTATGAGAATGTTTTTATACTGATTTCAGGGAGGCATGGAGTTAATACGGTAAAAGTTGTAGTGGTTGTGTATCTGTACACAAGTATGTGTTTTTTGAAAATTCTCTTCTTAAGAAAAATAAAAGCATTTAAGAATTGGGCATGTCTCTGCTCAAGCTCCTTTATGTGTGCTACCTCAAAGAAGAAGGCTTTTGCACAATGCTAAGCAGGGTGTTACATGTAAGTTTGTGTTTGAGGACACACTGTCAAGTGTATCACTTCTTGATAGGTGTCAAGGGAAGAGGTGTAAACCCTCAGTGGTAAAAAAAAGTCACCACCGAAGTCATAGATGGATCCACTCAATAAAGAGCTGAAGTGTTTGACCTTCCTATCTGTCTTTAGGAATCCTCACAGTTGTCTGGTTGGCAGTGCCACAGGTGTGATGTGCATTCCTCAATAAGAAACACTACAGCACAGAGGTGTTATTGTAGCTACAGATGAGCATTTGTTGAAGCAATGTGTAATCAGTTTTGAGAAGCAAAAGCTAAGAGAGCTTCTTTACCTATTGGACTTTTTTCTTCTTCACTAAACAAATAAAAGGAAGTATGGCCACCCAGCAAAGAAGGGGAGATGGGGGCAATGCTCCAATCTCTTTTTTTTTTTTTGTCCTTAGCACAAGGACATGATCAGCACATTAGCATGGTGTAGGCTAGACTGGTAAAACATACCTTATTTAAGAGAAAATTCTAGTTGAGCCGCACAACAGATCAGTTAATGCTACAGCCTATAAAGGAAATTGGTATTGGCTTCATTTCTGACCCCCACAATTTGGTGCAGAAATAGTAGTGTGCTCCATAGTTGGTTGCATGGTAACATAATGGAGTCCAATGTTTTCCAGTTGCTATCTGCAGTACCCACATGATCTGGCTTTATCTGTTTTCTTCCCTCCTTCCTCTTTTGTACGCAAACACATCTTGTACCATCAACAGAGCATGAACTCCTAAAAAAAAAAAAACCATTCTGTCCGTTTCCCCCTTATCTTTCCCCTATCCCAATTCCCAGACCAAGGAGTCGCCCCTATGCCAGTTTCCGGCTCGGTTTTCTTCATATTCCCATCTCACTCAACACACAGGGCTTGCGTACCCTCTAGTTTCTCCCTTTTTGCTTCCCAGAAATCAATTCCTCTTTTGTAAGTCGCAACACATCGAGATTTGTACGCAAACACATCTTGTACCATCAACAGAGCATGAACTCCTAAAAAAAAAAAAAAAGAAAAAAATCCAAGCAAACAACCCTGCAAACAACCCTGCAATATGAATACCCTACTTTGCCATAGCACATGCTGGGCCTATTAGCAGGATTTAATTCTGTTGTTACTCCTACTCTGTGAGCTACTTCTTTCTAGCTCTGACAGCTACAATTAGGGACAACCTCTTCCCTTGATCCTCCCTCCAGAGCAGCCTCAAATGTAGTAAGTCTGAGTGTGGAAGAAGATCATTCTGAATGTGGAAGGACATTACTGCTTTACAAAGGCAGTTAATGGACCTAATGTAATGCATAGATATCCACGAGTGAGTGTATCTAAAACATATCCTCATTTACAGCTTACTGCCCTTGGACCTTTAGCTTTTGATAAGCAGAGAGTCACTTTCCTTTGAATTTTCTATTATATGACTTGAACTTCGCTCTGTTGCAGGTCGAGGCAGCCAGGCTACCTGAGAACCCTCTTCATTTGTTCCACCTAGGTTCCATTTAAAGCAAGTATCTAAGTAGAAAGAAACCAGTGTGTAACTGGTTGGGCAATTTCTATTTCCAGTTTAAGGTGTGTGTCTTCTGCAAAAGCTTAGAAAACACAGAATTGCTTAATAGCTTGAAGAAATGAAAGAAGACTTTACTGGAAGGAAGTTGTGGTTCTGAGTTCATCAGCCTCTGTCATTTCTATTTTCTCTCTCTGAAACTTGTTCAACTAGATCAAAAGACAACATTGTATTAGCAGTTGCAGCATGTAAACACAACAATATTCCATATTTACAGTTGTACCTGCCTATTTTAAATTTTTTTCCCTCAGTGTATATTTTTGATGGAAAATGTCATCCAATTCTTTAAAAAAAAGCACAGTCAAGGATGTTTCAGATGGAAGTATGTGTTTTCCTGGAAATATGAATTCAGCACCCCAAAGAAGCAATGCTTACTTTCATAGAAGCAAAGGGCTTGCATGATAACTTATGTTGTTTACATTAATTAATATAATTTGTTCTACTTGCACTTCAGATACCTGTCACCACAACTAATTTCCCCTCATACAATGTTTTTATTACATATTTGGAAATAGAAGGAAGCATTTGAGCGTGTATTCCTTGATGTTTACCTGTATATACCTTCAAGAAGTATCTAAACTCCCTCCCAATAACCGATTAGACGATCTAGGTTTGTGCTTTTCCTTATTGCATCCATGATAAAGTTAAATCCTCTCTGTTATCCTTAGGAAAAAGGAAAAAAAATACGGCTTTTTTTTTTTTTTTACTTACTAATAAGACATTTCTAAAATATGTGACAAAATACATTCCCTTCCCATAAAAAGTTCTCCCCAGTACACACCTCTATTTACCAACGTTGGGACCAGTGCGCCATCGTCTGGTAAATTCGGGAACGGCCTGGAAGTTGCCAGGTGAGGGGAGAGTCCTTGTCCGTTCAGGTATGTCAGACTTGTTCTCGCTGTGGGCTTGCAAAAAGGAACACGTGAAATCCGTAAAGAATCAACGATAATTGTGTGCTGGGTTCAAATATGGAGCACCATCCTACCTACGAAACTGTTTGTTAACAGCGTTTTTCTCAAAAACTCTCTTTGAATCTAAAAGGCCTTTTAGACTTAAGTAAGTGGTTTTATAAGTTAAACATTTATTTAGGGAATTATTAGATAATTTCTTTGTGCGGGAAAAAGAAATAGGAAGATTGCAGGGACTTGAGTGCTCTTAATGCACCTGTGACAAAGGCTAATTTTTTGTCTGCTTGCCATCTGGATGCTTTTATTTATTCATCAGCTGAACTAGAGATCCCTGGATGTATCTGTACTTAGTTTACTGCAAAATATACTCATTAACTAGTATCATGTACCCTCATATGGGCTAGTCACAGTCCTGGAAAAACAACTTTTCACTGTGTATAATATAAGGAAATCACAAAGCAGTCATCTCAAGGATAAAATTATGCTTTTTCTTATGAAGTGGCTTTTTTCCTACATAAATTGGTGCCATTCACAGCTGTAATAAAAGCAGTTATTTTGTCCTGTGTGTTTAGCACTGGTTGCTTTCAAACCGTGATACTGAGAGATAAAAAAAAGCAGAACACAATGGAGAAAAGGAAAATAGAGATGAAAAAGTACTGGTTTGAACATCACCATTTTACAGCTGTACACACAGAAGGCAGGTACGTGTGTGTTGTAAGAGCAGATTGCTGTAGCAGCTGGAGAGCAGCAAATGGGAAAGATCCATATTTATTCCAGTCGCTTCCAAAGTTGTGTCAGGTATTTCACAGAACAAAAGAGCATGATTGGTCCTTCCTAGGGCATTCAGCTGTGGAAAATGGTATGAGGAGAGTTGGAACAGAAAGGGATTTGCCAGCTCCAGAGCACAGAGACTCTCAGTTAGTGCCAAGCACGATTTGTTATGGAGGGGAGGAAGAGGTGAAGGTAGAAAGGGGATTAAGGGTGGGGAACATGGAGGACTTCTTTTTTATTTTTTTTTCTGTGCAAACCCCTGGAACAAGGCAATGTGCTTGGAGCAACCAGCAAGGAAAAAGACCTTGATAATGCTATTTTGGGTGGATAGAGGGAAATGAGCTGGGTATTTACAGTAGATTGTCCCCTTCCTTTGAGATCCCAAGGGAACTTCTCTGGCAATGGACTAGTTTATTGGAGTCTAGGAAGCTGCTGCAGTATGTATCACGTCTAATTACCCAACAACCTCTCTTCATTTGTTATATTCTTGTAGTATCTGTAGAGAGAAATAACACTTAATAGCCCTGCTCTGTGCAACATCAGCACAGTGTCCTCATGAGATTCTGCCAAAATACCTGAACAAAAGACTTGCCATTCATCAGTTGATGGGTGTCTTTTGGGTTTTTTGGTTTTATGTCGGAAAATCACTTTTAAATGCCAGCCTACTGCTTTTCTTAGTCATTCTCCCAGTTGGGAGTGATTCTGCAAGAAATAGCAGATATGTACAGTAGTAAAATAATTGAAGACCAGATTGAGGTATGACATTTTAAATGGTAATTCTGCTGGTGTAGAAAGAAATGCTGCTGTATTGAAAAGACTAAATGTCAACACAATTAAAAAAAAAAAAAAAACAAACAAAAAAACCCAACAACAACAAAAAAAAACCAAACCAGCACTAAGCAAGGAAAACATTCAGAAACAAAATAGGTTTCTGTTAATTTTCTTCTTAGGATAAGGACACTTCAGAATAGAAGAGTGGGATGTGAGGGTTTGCAGTCTACTCCATATGAAAATGCTGTATTGACTCATGTGAGTAGGTTGTCATCAAAACTATGTGTGCTTCAAAAAAGGATGGGTGACAATCACAGATTTAGGAAGGAAAAACCTTCTCCCAGTATAGACTTTCAGAGGTGGCAGAATTTTCACTGGATTTCATCTGTTCAGTCAGCAAGAGCATTGCAGCACAGCTGTGGAAAGCAGGGATACTAGTTGTGGAAAGTCTATCTTCCAAGTCTTTTGGTTAGAGAGAAGTCCTGCCAAGTATACGCCTTTTCATTTCAAGCAGAGGATTTGGTAGAAAGAAAACAGCATAGCAGTGTAAATTATCTTAGCCATGTGAAATAATCTAGATGTGCTGGACATCTCCTTGGAAAGACTAAGCTGATACTTAGAATGATCTTGCAGTATCTATAAAAAGTTACTGCTTTAACAAGATTTAAACTGTCCTGATAAAGAGAGAGACATAATTAATTCCATATACAGCATCTCCACACTGAGTTGAGTGTTCAGACATTTCAAAAAACAGCTCCTATAAGAATCAAAGATTGCTGCAAGAATTCAAAGATGACAAGAGAGAGAAATACAAATAAATATTTTATAAGACAATGCGAAGTTTAATAATTGATTTCATAAAACCCACAACAAAGCAACACACTTCTGCTTTTTTCTTCAATTAAACAAATGTGTAGTAAATTATTAAAAAACTGCAAATACAATACACGTCTACTGTACTTCGACACCTAATTACATCAACTGTAAACCCCAATTTAATTAAAACCCATTTGAGTATTAGTATGTGCAAAATACCTGTTGTTTGTGGTTTGGTTTTTTTTTCCCAGTAAGTTTGTAAGGATGGGATGCACATTTTTCATGAACTGTGATATGGCTTAATTAATGACAGTGTTTGTATTGCAGCATTACCTTCCTGAGCACAGGGCTGCTCTGCCTCTGAGCTGCCTGAGCTCCCATGCTGGACTCAAGTATTCCCATTTCTTGCCAGAACAGATACAAACACAATCCAGTGTCACGTGCACTTTGTCCAAATTCACAATGTGCTGCCACTTTTAACCAATAAAAATTCAGCATGTGACCCCTACCTCCAAAAAGGGAAGAAAAGAAGCCAAGATTGTTACCACCAATTGCAGGTACAAATCAGCCTGATGAATATGTGAAACTCTAGAAACAGAAAACAGCTTAAGTATTCACAGCTGAGTATCACAATATCCATAACTGGGCGGAAATTTTCCTTTCTGATCCACAACAGAGAACTACTTTCGATGTCAGTGGAAGTTCTGCATAAAGGTCAAAGTCCAGAATAAACAAAAAAAATATTTGAAGCCAAGTTCTTTCCATCTTCTAAACTTTGCAGGTCGTGTTCTTGCCACCCTTAACTTCTTCAATGCCAAGGACTTCACAAGCAGGCATAAATCTGAGCTTGCAGGTGTAGGATAGCTTAGTGTCAAGATTTATATCTTGTGTACATTCAAAGTACAGGGGTTCCACAATGAGGCCAAACAATTCAGCTTTGGGGACTCTGAGGTGTCCAGATGAATGAACAGTCCTTTCAGCTGCCTCATCTCTATAAATACAAAAAGGCCTTTCTGCCCCTGTAGGTTGTTATGACATTGTTGTCCAACACCATCAGGTTACTGAGCTTGCTTGGATTTTGCTTTATTCATGAGCTTAGTAGTGGGAACTGCTATTGCAGTGGCATTCCTGTCAGGATACTGCCATGCTGTGCTCAAAGCAAAGGTGGAAAGGTCAGAGACCCGTGACTGATGGAATAGTGCATCTCTGAAACTCCTGCTCCCCACTCTCCTGTTGGATGCACATCTCTGGCATGTCTGCAGATTGCACTGGAGAGCATCTGCACATCAAGCATCATTTCTAACATTTGACTTTTCTTTTAAAACAGAACAATCATGGAAAAATGATCAATTACAGGACATTTATTAATTACAATTAGAGTGCATGCTAAGCAACTGGCCTTTTAATGTGAATCAAATGATGGGTTTAGACATTCAAGACTATTTATAAGAAAGTCATCTTACAAGTCAAAACTTTGTAAAATAAATAACCTGTTTCTAATGTATAAACCCTATTCTAAAACACATTAAGATAACTGATCACTTAAAACACTTTGGGTCCAGTGTTGGGTCTCTAGTTAAATACCACAAGTCTGGGCAAAGATCTTCCTGTCTGGATCTCTGAATGCCCAGATTAAAGCTAACTTTCTGGTGTGGATACAGTAAATTCTGTATTTTGCAGTGTCTCCAAAGGGACAGTTTCCACAAGAATTCAACTAGCACTGTATGCATTCCAGTTTAAGATACTGTATGAAAATTACTATTGCAAAAATACTGAATAATGAATTTGGGGATCATGACATATTGTGCAACCCTGGCAGGGTCAGCATTAAGAGACTTTTGATTGAAATACTGAATATTTGATGCTCCATTTGGAGTGCAGGTACTTTGTGGTACGTAATGATTAAAGGACAATATTGGACTGTAATTTGTGAGGTATCTGCAGAGCCACGTTGCAGTTTGTAAACAATAATCTGAAAACAGCTTTGTCTCAAAATCATAATAAATTGAATAAATCAGTACAAGGGAGAGAGTAAAACACACGTTCTGTAGGGCAACCACTGCACTTTCTGCAGCACCAGTTCTCCCTGCTGCATGTCCCATGGTACAAAGCCACATATTCATGGTCACTATTTGAGAATTTTCATTTTGCATTTATTGCTCTCAGTCTTTGACTACAAGGTAAAGAATAAGGCAGCAGTTCCCAAAACATATGAAATTAGGCACTGGAACTCTGACAACTTGCGCAGGTTTTGCTGATTTCCTGTTTGTAACTCTGGAGCTGGACAGAGCACTTGTACATTCCAAAGGTGTTCAGCAGCAGGTGTCGGGCCTTGGACTGAACGTCCTCCCATTTAGATGAACTACCAGGAACTGGAAAATTAAGAAAATTATAACAAATTCACTATCTAAGAAATTCAGACAATCCATCTGTTCTCAAATGTATCACAGTGTTACCAACTACAATAATCTTTGTTCATGCTCATTTATTAGTTTAATGTTGTTCTGTGGTCACTATGTACTCTCTCTCTATTATTTTACACTTTTAGGTCTATATTCTCCAACTAGATTCAACTCTTCATAAAACCATATGTGTTAGACACCATCCCCCCAAAACCTGAGCTTTCTCACTAAGAATTAATATTCATGGTATAGTTAGATGTGTAAATCAGCATATGTTTTGGTAAAACATTTGTTTTTCACATGTCAGATTGTTCCACGTTAGAACTTCCCCTTTTCTTTCCCTAGGCAAGTGAGAGAACTTCTGAGGAAAAATTGTGTGTTGCTTTTTTACCCCTTCCCAGAGAATCTGTACTGGATGTTTTGGTATGAATGTATTTTATTTGCACAATTTTCATTTACACCATGTGTTTCTGGGCAAAGAGGTTTTATTCCTCACTGTACAAAACCCCAGAATAATATTTCTTGGTTCAACTTAGATAACAATATGAAGAGGAAGTGGTGGGGGTTTTCCTACACTTACATTTAATTTAGAATTATGCTATACAGCAGCTTACCCAGTTGCAAGTGGACTATGGCAGTTGTTTTTCCTGCAGTGAGAGACCAAACATTTAAATCTTCTATAGAATAAACATCTTCAATTTTCATCAAGTCTTCCTTGATGCGGTCCACGTTTAAATGCCTCGGAACTCCTGTGATTCCAAACAAGAGATAAAATTAATTCTGTCTTCTGGAAACTCTCAGTGGCCTTTCATGACAGTACTCAATGCCAAAAAAAAATAGAATTTATGCTGTTGGAAGTGATAAGTAACTTCCATGTTATTAGCAGAAAATAATATGGAAATTGGCCTGTATGGACACAGAAGTTGAACAGGAATTGCAGTGTTGCCTCAAATGTAATTTGTCCTGCCCAGAATCTGCTCTCTGGCAACAGCCAGCATTAGATCCCTTGGAATGATGTACTTTTGTAGACAACTTTACTGCAGCTTCTAACCCCCAGTAACTGCTTCAACCAGACTCTAGGGTCAGAATACAGGAAAAAACCACCAGGGCCTGTCTCCTGAAACTTCTCTTCAAGTAACTGGTATGATGTTCACATGCTCACAGTAATCCATCTGCAGCATTAACTCACAGGACTTCATCTTACAGGGTGTCACCTCTGCAAATCACTGACTGCTCTGATCAAGTCCTTTTGGTATTTTCAGTAGTTGCAGCACCTCTATAGCTTCCCACCACCACCCTTGACCTGTACAAAGGGCAAAATCAAAATTCTAGATGATCAACACGGGTCAAAAACTAATACAAACAGACTGAATAAACTCTGAATAGTTTTATTTCTATAAAAGCTTTTTACTGTTTATCTTCCAGTTTTATGGAGTTTCTTTACATATACTTGCTTCTCAAATTTCTTCATTTTTTGCATGATTTCTCTGAACCTGATGCCTTACTTTCTTTTAAATTATGTTAGTTCCAGTACCATCTCTTTTGAAAGTTCTGTGCCTCTCATGGAGACCATCAAAAGTTATTTAGCTGATAAATAACTGCCTGGTATTATTTGTACAGCTTCCTTTTTCCCAGGAAACACGGACTTAAATCCTCATATCTACATCACACTCTTGACAAACTTCCATTCTGCTTTATAAATCTTAATGAAAAGCTAGAATGTCATTGCTTGAGTTAGAAAGCTATTTAATGTTTTAATTTAGCACTCCTGGTCTAATGATGAAACTTAAGTTGAAATTAATACCAAAAGGACCAATTTCAAGGATCTTGAAGTAGTTTCCAATATAAATGCAAGTCCATTCTCTGGAGATCCTGAATTTGAGTTGGAAAAATTCCCTGCCATGCATAAAACCCATGTATCATCACTTTTAATAACATCATTAATAGGGGATTTTTATGACAGCTGGGATACCTATGCAAACAGCAACAACTCACAACATCTGGAATCTGATACATCATTAGTCTTATCTGTTTTCTGCAGCCAAATCTGAGCTATTGCCTTGGAGCTAATTAAGGATTGTTGAGCAAATTTCATTGGTTTTGCCTTCTCAGTGAACTTCCATTTTGTTGCCTTTTTTTTTTTTAATCCTAAGTGACAGCAAATGCACTTGAATGAAGATTCTGAGTTTTCTGATTTAACCTCGTAACATAATAAAAGTAAAGTCAGTAATAATTCACTTGAGACAGCTAGGAAGGTGCAGCTAAAACCTAGCATTTTTCTCCCAGCCCTAACATCTTCACTTTCATAAAGTAAGAGCACTAGATCAAGCAGTAAGAGTTGGCAGGTAAGCTACAATAAAGCAAAGAATGTTGCTGGCATCTTTCCCTCTACATGAGATAAGATTCTTTAGCCTATGTTCAGGCTTTTCTTCCCTATTTTATTTCTTCTTTTACACCACTCTTGACTTGTAGCTTCCCCTATGGTAACAGCAGAAGCACACAAGTAACACAAAGGCACTTGTGGAAAAGGGGAAGACAGGACAGAGGTGAACCACCTGTCCAGCCATTTGGTCTAAGCTTGCTTCCTCCTTTTACACTCATCCACATCCACTTCAACTTCACAAGTAACTGAAGTGAAAGTGTAGAACTGAATCTGAGCAAAGGTTCACTTGGTTCAGCTGAGAGCCACTGCAGACACACAAGAAAGTTGTATGTGTTTCACTTCCCCACCTCCTGGTGGCAAAGTGGGAGCACAGGTAGGACCTGTGTCATTCTGGCAGAGGACAAACACACCCGAACACTGCAGCAATTCAGATGAGCCGTAAAGAACCAACAGACTAAGCAGCAGCAAGACAAACAGATCTCCAGGCACAATCCACTTAGAAATGGTGATTGTGATGTCAAAAAAGTGCCAGTGCTCTCTGGTATTTGGCATGTAAAGTACTGCAGACTGTGCACAGATCTTACCTTCCAGAATAATAACTCCCGTGTCACAGAGAATTCGAACTGTTGTGAAAACCACCAGTATGGAAAATACATATGTACATATAGGATCAGCAATCTTGTATTCTGGCTGCAAGGGAAACTCCACAGTGTTAAAGGATGTATGAAAATAAGCTCACTTACAAAAATGTGACTCAGAAAATGCAGTTAGTTCTAGTTTCAATTTCTATGAATTTTTTTTGTTCGAATAGTTATAAAATATATAGTAGAGATAGTTTTGCTTATTTTGCATGAATGTATGAAGCTTATAATAAAATATCACAGCTATTTTTCATACTTATAACAACAGGCCCCTTTTTAATTTAATCACTGGAGTTTAAGTTAAAAGAATTCCACGCTGCCTCAAAGAGCAGCCATTCCTTACCTTAAAGCGTATGATGTAGGCAGCCACGAGCACTCCAATACTTTGTACCAGGTCCCCCAGGGCGTGTACAAATGCTGCTCTCACGGCAAGGCTGCTGTGTCCATGGCCACTGCCATGTCCATGGCCACTGCCGTGGGCCGTGCTCGGAGAGCTCGACTGAGGTACATGAGAGTGAGGGTGGGAGTGCGAGTGAGAGTGAAGGTGGCCAGACTGATTCAGCAAAAAACCCATTCTGAAAGGGAAAGAAGAAAAGCACTCCAAGAAACAGGCTTTTAGAGTTGGGTGTGTGGGTAGGTTTTCACAGAATCACAGAATATGCCCAGTTGGAAGGGACCCACAAGGATTGTCAAGTCCAACTCTGAGCCCTGCACAGGACCATCCCCAAGAATCACACCCTGTGCCTGAGAGCATTGAACAAACACATCTTGAGCTCTGGCAGCCTTGGTGCTGTGACCATTGTCCTGGGGAGCCTGTTCCAACCACCCTCTGGTTGAAGAACCTTTTTTCTAATGTCCAACCTAAACCTCCCCTGACACAACTTCAGGCCATTCCCTCGGGTCCTGTCTCTGGTCCCCACAGAGCAGAGATCAGTGCCTGCTCCTGCTCTTCCTCTCACAAGGAAGTTGTAACTGCAATGAGGTCTCCCCTCGGTCTCCTCTTCTCCAGGCTGAACAGACCAAGTGCCCTCAGCTGCCCCTCACTCAGCTTCCCCTCAAAGCCCTTCACCATCTTGATTGTCCTCTTTTGGATGCTCTCTAATAGCTTAATATTTTGTTGCTTTTTTCTCTTTCAGTTTAAATGAAATAATTGAAAAAGTAATACTCAGCATAATTTCTCGTCTTATTTATGAAATTTAAGAGGTCCAGCAAAATTATATCCCATGGAAAAGTTACATGGGAAAAGTTACAGGCCATGACTGAATTAGCAGCTTATTCAGAAATACATTTATGAGTGTTAATGGAGAGAAGGGGAGATCTTACATTAAGTTAACTGCAACACCGACGGCCGCTGTGATCAGCATGATATCACCATTTATTTCATAGTCCATATGGATAGTTCTTTGAACAGCCTCATACAAGAGGAATGCCATAAGGATATAGACCAGCAATACACTAATGATGGCTGACAGTACTTCTGCAAAAAGAAAGGAAACAACATTATAAAAATGTGTCTCAGATCTATTTCCAAATTAGAACATGGACAGAGCCTTAATCGTTTTAACAATTTTATGAGTATTATAAAACCGACTATAAACTAATATGTTTAGCGGTAAATAACACTTGTAAAGTAGGATTAACAAATGGAGTTTGTTCTCATCAACTCCTTCATGCTTCCCTACCACCAGTATATCCCTCAAATTATGTCTTCTCTGAAAAGTTCTGCAGAGGTGATGACCCTGACTTCCTCAGACAAGCCAGAACATTTGCCTGAAAAGCTGCAGGCAAAGGCCGTGCCCAGGGGAGAGGAGGACGGGTGATCTCAAACATCACCAACACACCTACAAATAAGAGAAGGCCTGATTTCAAGTGTCCACAGTATTAAGCTGGATTTAGAAATGACTTTTATATATCCTTTTGTATTTAGGATGGAGAAGAAATTATAAAAAGATAAAGAAACTGAACAGTACAAACTTGTCAGACATGACAGTCCTAAGCTTCTACACATACACATTACCTATTGCAGATTTCAGCTACAAAGGATTGCTGAATGTTAGTATCTCTATTGGTGTGATATGCTGTTTTAACAGTATCTAATATTTACCAAATGTTCATATTTCACAAAAGTAAGAGCATTATGACCAATATTTTGGTGTAGGAATTTTATCTGATCAGCAGGGACTTTCAAAAGGAAATATATAAAGATAAAATTAGAAAGTTAATAAAAACTCCTAATTATTTGACTGCACTGCACCTTCCACTGCCATTGACATCTGTGAAAAGTGGTGAGAGCTCTCTACAAGGTTCCTCCTGTTCAGATGTGAGGTAAACAAGTCTGAATATTCTACAGGACCTTTTGTGCTGTTTGCCTCAGTCATGAAATTGGGCTGGTAACAGCATACATAAACCTGAGGAGGATGAGTCTACACTACAGTTTTAAGGTCTTACTACAAAGAATACAGGTATTCCTAAATGGGTCACTAGATTCATTTTATCATAAACATACTTTTACCCTCTAGCTTAAAATTATTACCCTGCTGCAACTGAAGTTTAAAAAAGCAAAAAAAAAAAAAAAGGCAAGATAGCTGAGAGAGAAAACACCAGCCCAGTTAACAACTGTCTCAGTTATAAGCAAGTTAATATAGGGCTTTGCAAAAAGCACTGGGAAGACCTTAATGCTCACTCCATTGTACTGCATGCAAATCTGCAGCCATGCCTGAGTAATCTGTAATCATTATGTGTAGTGCTCATTACTGTCACTTGCCAGATGGATCACTGGGACCTCAGCCTTCCTGTGTGAACTCAAAGATCAGAGTTAGAATTAATTTACTTGAAATTTTAATGGTTGTTCTTCCCCTTAGGTCCACACATGTTGCCCTGATTTATTCCCCAGTAAGGGCAAAATTCTGCTCTTGGCTGTAGCACAGCTCTGAGAATACTCATCTGAGAATTGCCTCACTTCTCCCTCCACTTTGAATCTGTCAGCATGTAGATTTTGTAACCAACTTTGGTTACTACAGAAAATGTCACTTCTAACACAGAAGTGTTTTAATTTTATTTATTGAATATGACATAAAAAGACCCATGCAGCTATATCAGCATTTTAATATCACCAAAATCACTTGATCCATACACTGAATTATGGGAGGAGAAACTCACCCCAATGCATTCAGCTGCTGGGTGGTGTGTCAGTGCCTGGACAAGTACCAGCATTACCAGGCAGTAACAAGGCTCTGAAAGGCAACTGTCTCAGATGATTTCAGAGCAACCTGAAAATCCTGGAAATATCTGTGTAAGTGGCAGCCTTCTTTACAAAGTCGGCAGATTACTCAGGGCAACAGCCTTAAAAACACACAATACATTGCTTAGAAGGTTTTCCAGAATGCTTTTTAAAAAACTTTTGAAGCCATGGCACATTACCATTTACGAGAGAAATAACATATAGTGCTTCTACAATCTAAACCCATGTTTTCTGTAATGGAAGTCAGTGTTTTCCTTGCAGGGTCTTCCACAGTCACTGTCGTGTCAGCACTGTACATTTGTGCTGAGATCTTTCGCTTCTTGTGAAATGAACTGTGCACTGGCTCAGTGGACTGGCTGATTCTGTCATTACTAACATTGTCTCTGCAGCAATGGAAAAGTGCCAGGTTCCGTATCTATGCTTAAATCTGCTCGGTGTCTTGCTGAAAAGGAGGTATCTGCACTTGGTGGTGAAACAGAACTTACTTTTGCCTTCAAGAATACAATCCTTTTTAGACGTGACTGCAATTTCCATTACTTTGTCTTCACTTTTCTAACCCATTCCTGAATCTGTCAGCCTCATTTTCACCAGGGAGGATGGAATAAAACTGAAGACAGAGCATACATAATGTGCATCCAGAGAGAATTCAAATAAATGAAAACTTGTACTAACTTCCCTCTGGAATTTGACTAGACAAGTAATAGGTCTGTTGTCTTTACCAAGCAATGTTTATGGGAACAAGTTTGAAAATTCATCATTTTACAAGCAAAAATGATAATGAATACCAGAAACATTGTTCATTAGAATGTTCTCATGCCTACTGTACGTATGGATTATCTTAAACTTAATGTAAAGCAGGTCAGTGATGAGACAGTTCTTGCATATATTCCCAGCTTTAAACAAACGCTCCACATCTTTTTCTGTGACAGATGCCCAATCTGTACCCTATTTTTAACATTCTGTCATGTTTTAACATCTCTCACATGGAATTTAAGCTATTGTTGAAATGATGTTATTTGCTGACAAGCTTCTTACATATAGGTTATTTGGGAAAATGTGTTACAGCAAGGATATACCCTAGAAACTGCTTTGTTCCATTGCCAGCATTCACTGATGTGTGAAACTGGGCCCTCAGGCCATGGCATTCAGACTGGGTGCCTAAACCAGGCATATAAATTTCACAAATGGGATTTTTAAAAAAACTCTGTGTAGCAATTTTGAACCATCCCATCTTCTGTACTTTGGAGGTCCCTGGTAGAGCTTTCACCTGCTTCCTCTTCCTTACTACAGCCACAGAAACTCTCCCCCCCCAGCCCCAGGCCCTAGTCCTCCTCCTCCAGACAGAGCGGCACTGCTGCAGTGCAGCACAATGGCTGAGGTAGGAAGGGACCCCTGGAAACTGTGCAGTCCTGCTTAGAGGAGGGAAACTCCAGCAGGTTGCTCAGGGCTCCTTCCAGTAGGGTTTTGTGTTTTTCCAGCTGTGGACACTCCACAACCTGTTCTAGTCTTTGACCACCTACTGGCACTGGGCAGCAGAAAAGGAGTAATTGTTGCAGAACTGAGAGGCTGCTCCCTGTAGCTTCTCCCAGGGACAAGATGGTAGGCAATACAAACTAATTTTATTGGCTAGATCGAGCCCATGGACTGGATCAGTCTGGTCAGTACTTTTCCTGGCAGTAAAATGACAAGAAAAAGAGATATAGAAAATGAGATGGCAGGAATCCTCAGGGATTTGTGCTTGCAAATTAATTGAAAAGTCAGTGAAAATTTACAGAACTGAAAAAGATTTTAATGGTTAAGTAAGTTTCTTTTATTTTTCCCAAGATAAACTGTTTTAAGCTAGGCCATGGCATTTTTAATTTATGTGCTATTTGGTTTTAGAAAAGTTACAAAGACATATAAACTACTCAAATGATTTTGAAATAGGGTTAAAGTATGTATAAATGCTAGCAAACATCCTTCTGGAGAGTATGAGCAAATGCCAGGGGCCTACCTGCAAGGTCAGGTTTCAGTATTAGGGGAGCTCCTATGGCAAAATTAAAACTTCATGAAAGAAAAGTTTGTAATGGGAAATGCTGGCATTGCTAATGCTTTCTTGCTAAAGCCCCAGAGAGCTTTGCTAGTGTACAGAGTTATGCATTCATGCATTAGTGACTAACTGATGACAAATGACGAGGAGTGATGGAGTTGTTGAATTCTGCTGCTGTTCTAGCAGCCAAAATAAGAATTGCAAATAATAACTACATAAGACTGAAATTCCTTGAAAAATGTATTCTATAGAATGTATAGGGCATAGGTAGAAAATACGACACTAGAAATTATCTATTTCATGAAAAATAAAGCTTTGAAGATTTTGATAAGATGTCTACAAGACCTGCAGCTGTATATTGTGAATTATTATATCCAATTCACAACCACATGAAAACACCCTGTATCATCATTACATTTCCAAACATGAAGTAATGAATCCTGAAAATACCCTTCCAAGGTTTAGTTCATAATTCTGTTTATATTTCTTTTTACAGACACGTAAACCAGGCAGAGGTTAAATAACTTGCTGTATTGCAAACCACGGGACATTTTGACCTCAGCTTTGTGTGGTTTGGGGAATGCAAGAGGAATGATGTACGCGACTTCGGGCAGGGCACAGCTCTCTAATAATATGTTCTACGTAACTTTTTAGTTCTGGATTAAAATGTCATTTTTCACATTGAATAAGACCTTTTTCCAGTGTCGCAATTCTGCTGAAGTCAACGAGACTTCATAAATCCTGGGCACTGGCAATAATCTGTTGTGAACAACAACAGACTGATGTGCACAGCTCCTGCACCAACAAGCTCCTCAGTGTGTCACAGGAGCAGTGACAGTGGTACAGCAGTGAGTATAAAGAATGTATCCCTCTTCTGCTCAGCAGCCTCAGTTCCAAAGCACAAAGGTGCACAGGGGCCTGAGCTGATGCAACAGCCCATTAACTATGGACGGGCTGTGAAACACAGCTCTGCAGCCACCCTTGTTCTCACTCAGAACAGTTTCCCTCCTCTGAACCCTTTTTAAACATTTTAGGCCATGGTTAATTTGCAGGAAGTCACAATGTGATCATGTATCCAATTCCCCAACCTTCCTCTTTAAGATAAAGATGAATCAAGCATTCAGAATTTAACTCTGATTCTGCCAAGTCCTAGTTCCACAGAGATGAACAGACTCATCCTGCTCCCAGTGAATGAAACTCTGCCGTCAAACTTTGAGCCACGGGGTTTTTTTTATCTATTCCCTTGTGGCAATACTGCCTATGTAGTATATCCACAAAGGCCAGTGAAAGGGCATTAAGAGTCAGGGTGTTAAAGCAACTCTTAGGTTTGCTGCTACTTTCTTTCTAGTTACTTATTCTTCTAGAATTTGCTGATCTTTACAGTTGTTGCTTAAAATACTCTTTAATAGCAAAATCTGATATCTACATACCTAAGCGATGAAATCCAAAAGTGAACCTCTTTGTTGGAGATTTTGCAGACAGCCAGAGAGCAAGCAGGGTCAAAATAATACCACTAAGGTCAGTTAACATGTGCAGTGCATCTGTCATAATTGCTAGACTGTTAGCAACATAGCCACCTGAAAACAAAATTGGAAAAGTCAGGACACACGACATTTTTAATTATTCTAGATAATATCCTCTTGGCACAGCTGACAGTTATTTATTTTCAGAACAGTGCATTAAGTGCAGGAGAGCCCGTCTTATAATCACTAAATGGGGGGGGGGTTGCTATTACAAGCAAAATGCCATGCTGTAATTTAAAGCTACCATAGTTAAAAGTGCAGTCAAGTGTGCTTTCTATTAAGAGTAACATAAAAAGGATTCACTCCTGTTATTCTCACACAGACTACTTGCATAATAACCTGTGCAAGATGAGGCCCAAAACAGTTTTGTATCTTTCCTCTATATATTACTGCACATGTGTTTAATCAACTGAGCCTTTTATTAAACTACCTCTGTTGAACATTGTGATATTTCAGAACAGGGACAGAAGTCCAAAGACTCAATAAAAAGGAAATTTACCCTGCCCCCTTTCTATTTTTGTTAAAATACCTTTTAACCTTCATTATTCCCTGTCCTGGCAGGATTGTGTGAGTTCTGCCAATATCTATTGCAAGCAATGACTTTCAATTGCACAGCATTCTTCTCTGTTATTTATTACCATAATTTTTTTCTCGTAATTATGAGCTGCATTGAGACAAATAACCCGAGATCAAAGGCTAATATCTTTGTTCCAATTCAATTGCTAATGCCACTATTGGATGGTGAGAGATTTGAACAATGCACCTCTCTCTTAAGTATCCCTTATCCAAAGGGGAATCAAGGACGGACTGTGTTGTCTTCCATATGCTTGAAGGTAAGCCCATTTTCTCAGAAAAGATCACATCTTCAGTGTCAGCTCAGCTATGATTTGGTTTCTCTTTTTACCTTGAGATTGTCATTCAGCCTGTAAATTTGTACCAAGTGAAGCATGCAGCTGGTGTGCCATTTGTGTGCCATTTGGCAGGCTTGAAGCTCCAACTAACATTTCAAATAAAGCAATTTTACATACAATTAAAATTGTCTTAGTGAAGAGGCTGACCACAAGGAAATGGCAAAGAGGAATTCACAACTTTGTTTTTAAGATCAGTCATAAAACCTGTGTGTGTGTGGCTGTGGGTGTTTGTATGTGCACACCTGCAGACAGAGCTACTCTCTCCTCCCCAGCCAAACACGCACAGCGTGGCTGCTGCTGTAGTGTTGCTGTACTGTGGGTAACTACAAATACACTACATTTCAACCAGTTCCCATCCTAAGTCAAATTCTTCTTCTGAATTTCTCCAAAAGGCCATCACAGCTCAAAAACAATGAGTTTTTAAGATTTAGCAATTCAGCGGCTTTTTGAGTAAAATGAGTTACGGCTTTCCTCTCTGAATTAGTTTGTGTTCTCACATAATGTAAAAAAAATACTTAGAAAAGTGCAACTCAGCCTCTTTTATAGTCAACAGATAAGAAAAAACAATTTATTTCTGAAGACATTCAGTTCAGCAGTTTACACGTATCATTATTTACAGTATGTATGTTAATTCTTAAGTATTAATTTTGAGAATCACTTCAGTCCAAGGTGAGTCGATTCTATTTCAGCCAGCCTCTCACCTTTAAAGCTTTTCAAAATAAAATGGTAAAGAAGGAATTCAGGTACTGAAGCTGACCGTAATGCAGTGTGTGGATTAAGAAAACATTATTGACATTTATTGAATTCTGAAATCAAAGGTTCTCTGTTCCCAAAAGTTCATTGCTTGGTTAAAGGTACTGCCTAGGGGCTATTTAAACACAATTGGCAACTTAGAAAAAAAGACATGTATAACCTTTACAAATAGACAGCTTGATGGTTCACCACTGTTTTCAGTGACCTGTGAAGGACAGCAGTTCTTCTCATGGACAATCAATTAGAAATCCTCAAACCTGGCTGAAAACATCAAAACCCTGTCAGAAAAGCTAACTAGGTTTTGTGGTATGATTTTCTTTTCTTGATGCAAAATGGTTTCCACAAAGCATAAGTTTTTACCTGACTGTTCATCAAATTAAACAACAAACACTGAGATAGGCTGGAGTAATGAGCTTGGCTACCCTTTGAAAAAAATATGTCAATCAAGATTTCACAAAAAAAGCTGCTGAAATAAGATTTCCTTCATCTTGACATTAGTAACAGACAGCAGAAAGATTTTTACTGAACGAATTAATTGTCTGAGAGGGTCTTCTGTCTTTTTCTCAGAAACTCAAATCTGTCAAAGGTCATAGAAAGAAGTCAGTTAAAACATCCTATATGATCAAACAGAGTTTCCCAAATACCAGAGCTTTAGATCAATTCATAAAGTTCCAAAATTTGAAACCAACCAGACAGAACACATCACAGGGCTGGAGTGAAAGAAATTAAACAAGTAGGGCACTGACCCAGGACTCGAGGGCTCTTTCTTTAGTTACTCTTCTACTGCTGATTACTTGCCCTATTGACAAGTCATTCAGGTCGGGATCCACGAAAGTACAGAGATACCCAAGCCCTCTATTTATTCTCTGTGGAAGATGGATGCCTGAATATTTTATGGGTCTGGCCTCAGTGCTCTCTGATTCTGTGCCCAAAGAACGAAACAGGGGTGGCAAAAGCACCTGAGGAGGACAAGCCTTCACTACAGCACTAATGCTTTGTACAGACAAATCCACCACCCTGACTGTATGGGAGATGTGACAGTGATGAGAGAGTATTATTACTCTTAATATCTATTTTTTTCAGAGCTCTCCCTGCACTAGCTATGGAGAGGTCTACAAGTGTGAATTAGATCCAAAGCCCAAACACACACTCAGTGAGTTCAGCATCAACATGCCAACAGCACAGACATATTATTCAGCAATAGGCCCTTCAGAGGAACTAAGTTCAGTGTACATCAAAACTCTGGTATTGGTATAAATAAAACCAAATAACATCATTCTCAGGTTAAAGGGTGTCTACATCTAAGATACAACACTGTTACTTATCAAATTAACCTGAGTTCATGCTGAACCAAAACCTCAGCCAGAGAAAAACCATGGAGCCAGGGGGCAAGTGCAGGCATTCGGCCAAATCCCCACAACAGGGTTGGCACGAAGCGCCTTATCCATGATAAGCTGATGTATTGTGGCAGTGTTATTAATGACTAACCACACACTGAGATATGCTGAAGGACAAAACCACTTTTTTTCCATTAACCCACATTCCTGAAATAAGGCCCCAAATAAAACTGGAGCAGACACAGTATTCTGGTCTCTCTCTGAAAAACAGAACATTTCTCCTAAGGATTTTTTTCCTACATCTGTAGGAAAAATGGCATTATTTATCCCCTATTTTGCTTCCCAGCCATCTCATACAGGTTTGTCTTAAAAACATAATTCAGAGCTGTCCTAGGACAAGCATCCAAGAGCATGAGTTCACTTCACATGAGCAAACAACTGACCAAAACTGCACAGCTGTGGAGGAGGAGGGTGTAGGTCCCATATTACTACACCTGAGGCATCTCTGTTCTTCACTTTCAGAAAGTTTTTATGATTACATTTCTTTTTTTTTTCTTTTTGTGAATTATGGCAAATAATTCATCTGATTAGCTCTGATTTAGACTTGAATGTTGAAATTAAAGCAATTTAAAAGCAATTAATTGCTACAGAGAGACCTGGCTCAACGTACATATCAATGTACTGGCACTGCATAATGGTCCCCATGACTCCAAACCAGGGGACAGTGCATGGGAACATTTAAGCATTCTTCAGGAGGCTGTCCCACCGAGCAGACACTTGCACTGAATGGCATGGATGTACCCAAAAGACAGATAGTAACAAGACATGCGTACTGGTAAATGAACAGAGATTAAAAGATAAATATTAAACTTTGTAAAAATTATTAGAAAATGGCAAAGGGATAACATTTAACAGCTAATCTATGCACCCCAGGGGCTTTCACATTTAATTTTATTCCAAGCCCATGCTGCAAGCCTGCAACAAGCCTGCTGGATAAAGCAGTTGTTGGGTACAGACTGCTGTGTAATTCACAGGTTTTCCTCCACCTGCACAGCACCTGGTTGTGAGCCCTTAGGAGGGAACAATAAAAGCTGAGCTTGAGCACAAGATTCATTCTTCTGACCAACGACAATCAGGTACTTATACAGGAACTCATTTTCAGGTAAAAACCCACCATACTTCTGCAAGTACTAACAAAAAAACCCCACAAATAATTTAATCCAGCTACTTGGTACCTCTTATATTTTGCAACGGGAAGTATTAAAATATCTATTACTTTAATTGACTGTGTATGATTTATGTCTGGATGGAGCACATGCTAGTCCAGAGCACAGGAGGACATCAAGAGGTTGTCCAGAGAGTGGCTTCTTCACTGGATTGCTATTGATAGCTCAGGACATGTCTTTTCAGTTCTAAGTAACTGTGTATTGCTGAATATGGTGTATTTCCCTCTTCTCATATTGCAAACACAGCGAGATTTTATGGAAGTAACTGAACAATACTGAGAATGAAATTGTTCATTCTGCTTCTCCTTTGCTACAAACACCTTACAAACTTATAGGGGAAACTTACAAGGAGAAATAAAAAGCCATTAAACGTACAAAAGAATACATATTTTATGCATATTTGACATATCTGATGACAGATTCGGGCAAGGGAAGTTGCAAATTTTTTCATTGAAAATACACGTTGGACTTCATTCTCTCTCACTACTCTGAACGTGCTGCTAATGTCTCTGATTTCTCTAAAGGACTGATGGTTTCTCTCAGTAAATACTTCAAGCCAAGGCCGGAGCAGCGTTAACAGGCTGGGAGGCACCGCGCCCAAGGGATGGCACAAAGGGCCCCCGACTCACCTATGAGCTCCCCGGTCATGAAGAGGAGGTAGAGGATGGCAGCGAGCGCCAGCCGCTTCTTCACCTTCCTCTGCTTGGAGCGCTCCCGCCGGCTGCTGCAGCCGCTGCAGGGGTCCGGCCGGCCGGCCCGGGCGCTGCGCAGGGCGATGTCCCGCTCCAGCAGGGACTCGTCGTCGGACGGCAGCCCCGGCGGTGCCCCGTTCACCGGCGTCTCCGGGGCCGCCTCCGAGCCGTCGTCCGCCACCACCACGCGCAGCTTGTTAAACCTGGGGAAGTCCTCATCCCCCACCTCGTCCGAGAAGTCAAAGGCACTGGAGTCGTTCAGGAACAGCGGGTCCTCGCCCCTCCGCAGCAGGGACTTGATGCTCGCCCAGAGCCCGGCCCCGGCCATCGCGGCGGTGCCCGGGGGGGCCCTCGCCGTGCGCGGCCGACCCGCCGCGGGCGGCTCCGCTGGCGCAGCTGTGCCCTGGCAGGCGGCGCCCGACCGCTCCTCGTCCCGTCAGGGCATGTCCCCTACATCGCCCCGCGGGGCCCTGCGCAGGCCGCCCGGAACGCGGCGCGGGGCTCCGGCACGCCCGGCGCACTCCGGCACCCCCGGTCCGCACCGCCGCCCCCGCGCCGGGCACGGCGGGCGCTGTCACCGCCGGGCCGCGCAGCGCCCAGCCCCGGTCACGGCGCGGCCGGGCAGGCGGCGCCGGGCGCAGGGCCGCCTCCTCCCTGCCGGCGCAGGGGGAGCGCCGCCGCCGCCGCCATGCGCGTCACATCCCCCCGCGGGCGGGCACCGCGATCCCGCACCGCGATCCCGGGGCCGCCCCGCGGGACCCGCGTCCCCTGCGCGCCCGCGGACCCCGCCGGCACCGCGCCTGCGCCGCCAGCAGCGGGGGGGCCGCGGGTTCGAGTCCCGCGGAGCGCGGGGGCCGCACGGCGGGGATCGGGGCGCGGCGGGGATCGGGGCACGGCGGGGATCGGGGCACGGCGGGGATCGGGGCACGGCGGGGCCCGCCCGTCCCTCGCGGTACCTGGCGGGCTGTTCCCGTCCCTGCCCGCGTTTGTGCTCAGTGGGTAAATGCCGTGCGAGGTACAGACTGACAACTCCCAAAGCCCTACAATCCAGGTGTGATCTGTGATAGACGAGAGGCTCTTTTCAATTACACTGGAAGCCCCGACTGCATGGCCGTGCTCTGGCTTGAGATTTTAAAAGGCAGAAGTTTGCATTTTGTCGCTTTTTCTTTCTCTCCCTGTCAAAGGCGCTGCTCTTCACACCGTTTCAGTAGCTCCATTTAGTAACATGCACCTTTCTGGACATTCCTTAAATGTATCCCTTAAAATATGACATTAAGGATGTAGGGAGAAACAAGCATCAGAGACCCTGCTGTTCTGTAATTCCTTTCATTACTGTGTTCTAACTTAAGAGTAATTAGATTTTTGCCTTTATTAATTTTTCTGGTTATTTAGGGTTATTCCCCCTCCTCACTGGTCTGAGTACTAGAATTTTCTTCTAATTTCCAGCCTCCACATATTCAGCACCAGTTTGTACACATGGCCGAATTTTGTTACTGCATTCAGTCAGTTCCTTAAGTCATAAACATTTCTGCAAAAACACTCCTGTCTCAGGGAAAGTACATATCCTGGGTTTTTACTTGGTTGAAGGAGGTTACTAAGTGAAGACTGGAGAGCTGTAGAGAAGTGTAAGATTTTGGAGAAAGGCACTCCCTTTCTGGTCAAGGGCTGATAGCAGCTTCTGGCGGGTGTTGGGGTACTGCCACAGGATGTGGAGCGGAACGTGTTCCCTTCCTGGAACAGGCCCTGCAGGAGGGGAGTCCTGTGTGGTAAACTGGCCTTGGGCGGAGGTTGCTTGTTGTTGTTCTTGTTGTTCTCCGTAAGGATGTCCACAAATAAACAGTATGATGATTTGTCCGAGCTCCCTTGCCGCTTTACAATGCGGCTATTTTCCTTCGCATGTAACCTCAAGTTATTCTTTCCCAGGTGGCTAAAGAGGTGCCATCCCTGGCCTTTTCACCCACCTCATAATTCCCCCAGTAGAGCTACCAGCACAATTTTTGTGGGCCAGGCAATGAATTGGGTCCCTGAGATCTAGGAGAATTAAAAAATACATATTGAAAGGGTTTCAGACGTATTCGTATGTGTAACTGAGACTGCTTCCATGACCACAACTTGCATAGACATCCATGTGACAACTGAGGGGGCAGCCAACAGTGTGGGAAGCAGCATGAGCAGCCAAGGCTGGGAACCTGTTAAGCCAGCCTAGGAAAGTGCTCCCAGCTGTGTTCCACTTCCTGCATTTTTAACGTTTCTGTTCTCTCTGTGTGATTTAACTCACTCTGTGTTTCAACAGTTTCACCACTTGTACCAGCACAAGTGAGCGAGGACACGCAGGCATGAACAGCCAGGTTCCAGGAGCCACCAAAACAACTGCTCTTAAGACTCCTAAATTGTTGGGCTTTGCGCTGGGGCTTTGCCACTTCTACAGGAACAGAAACTTCCAGCACTGAGTAAGGGTATTAATCTGAGGGGACTTAACACTTTAACACCCTAAACCAGTACCCCAAGGTTTGCCAGCTCGCCTTTTACTGAATAACTACATTTTTTTCTTTGCCAAGTCAATAACCGTGTCATACATTGGTGAGATGAACCTCTGTGGAACAGAACCTTTTGTAACAGCCAGCTACACTCCATTTCTTGATTGTGACAGCCAAGGCTGTACTTTTTCAGTAGTCTCGTTTACTTAATAAGGACTGAGAGTCTTTAAAAGGTTACCTATTTAATATTTCCTTTTCATGCTGCCATCCCTGAAGTCATGCAGCACTTCCAAAGCTGATGGTTTAAAACATCCTATTTGCTATACAATTCAAGCTAACTTAACTCCATTTTCACTCAGATTTCTAGGGTGGGACAGTGTTACATACCTGCTTAAATCAGTTACAATAAAATCCAAAATGTGTACGTGACAGTGTTGCATTAAAGGATTCTGAACACAGTTGCTACAAGATGAATGAAAAGGAAACACAATTATTTGGTGTTACAGTGGTATATACATGGCACTTGGATAATAGTTACTGTGAAAGAGAGAACATTTTGCAGAGGAAAAGAATCGGGAAGGGCTTTCTGTCAGTCTCTTTTTTGGAGCATTTGGGTTGATAAATAGTTAAATTTTAATTTATCTAGAAAACCAGATACCAGTTTTCTATTCCAATCCTTAGTCTATTTCTGCAAGACGTGGGAAGGCCTGGAACAGGCAAAGCAGGAGCACAAATCTGAAACTCCCACATCTCAAGTGAGACTATTTCAGAATCATTATCTCACTTGCTCTTACTAAAAATTCCATCTGGAAGCTTAGAAGTCTTTCCCAGTGAAACTTTCAATAAAAGTTTTTTTTTCCCCCCCACCAAAAGAAACCTGAAGTTGCTAACCAGTTGTAATTCAGAATTTAAGTTAACAGGTTCCTGTTGTTGCTTCTTTTTTAGAGTAAAAGCAGAAAAAGGAAGAAAAATGTGTAACGTTTTTAATCTGATGACAGAATACCGACATAATTGTGATCAACAGTTGATTAGAATATACATATGAAGAAAATTACAAATTAATTTGCAACAATCTCACTGTTAAAAATGTCAGTTTTAAGGCTGACAGATCACCTCAAAAGTCCGTTTTTTGCCCTGGTCTGTTTCTGCCTTAATTTAATTTAATCTTGAAGGTTTGGGGGTTTATGGAAATACTGCATTCCAAAAACACTCTGAGTGGTTCCTTCATCAGTTTCTTTCTATAGTTGCACCTGCATTTCCTGGAAAGATCTTTACAGGTAAAAGAGGGGGGAAAAATATAAATCCTACCATACCTTTTAAAGTGGTTTTTTTCATTAAATATATATATCCATATCCATATATATATATATATATATGCAAGTTATTATTGCTCTTACGACTGTTGAGGGAGATGCAGAGACAGATATATACACAAAAGGCGGTTATGTATTTCCTAAGAAACAAAAGCTACAAGGAGTGCATAGTCCGCATGGTTTCTGGAGAATAACATACAGATTTATCAAATACAGGAGGACGAAGAAAGGCCACCCTGCAGTGATTTCAGCTGTTTTCCCCGCGGCAGCAGAGCTGGCTAAGCTGAGCCGCGGTGCTCCCGCGGGGCCGCCGCTCTGCCCCGGGCGGGTCAGGCACCGCCCCACCGCGGCTCCCGGAGTCAGCCCCGTCACTGTCACCCCTCACGTCATCATCATCACTGCCCGTCATCCTCGTCACCCACACGTCATCGCCGCACTCTCACATCACTTCCGCGCCCGGCGCGGTCCCGTCCCCGGGGCACGGCGGCTCCTCTCTATGGTGCGGCGGGGCGCGGGGCGGGGGTCGCCGGTCCGCCCCGCTCGGTGAGGGCACCGGACCCGCCTCCCTCCGCCGCGGGCTCGGCCCTTGCCCTGCCGTGCCCGAGGGGCGGCCGGAGCGGCGGCGATGAGCGGCGCGGAGCGGCCGGAGGAGGCGGCCGCGGGCGGCCCCGGGCGCTCGCTGGGTACGCGAGGGGCGGCCGGGCCGGGCCGGGCGGGTGCGGGGGCCGAGGAGGGACTGGGGCCGCCCTCGGTCCTGCGGCCGCGCTCCCTCGGGGCGAAGGGGGCACTGCTGCCGTCGTTCTCCCCCAGGCGATGGGGCCTGCGGGTTGAAGGGTTTTATCTTCCAAGAGCTCTGCACGCGATAAATAATAACAGCGCGCTAATACGGAGCTTACAGTAGATCTTAACCAGCTCCTGCAAAGTCCTGGAGTTCAGCACGTGGTGTTTCAAGGAAGTCTTCTTGTGTTTTGAGTGACTGGCGAAGACCTTCCAAAGGCCTTGTTTGTTCTCTGACTTTAAAAGCAAAGGGGGGGGTGTTAATGTTTAGATCTTGATGCATAGCCAGGACAACTGATGTTGCCCCTTTTCTTCCTCAGTAGCCTGGAGCATTTGGGGTTTTTTTTTTGTAAGATGTCTGTGGAATATTCTTATTTCTCCTCTTTCTATTCAGCTGGTTTTCAGACAAAAGGGTTCACCAGGAAGCTCGTGATATAGGACTGGGAATTAGGAAGGGATAAAGAGGGGGAGGAAAAAGGAAGCACAATTTAGTTGATAAAGTGCAGAGAATTGTAACTTTAGTGTTGAAATACTTTAAATTTAAACAAGAAAATGTAGCTGCTGTAAGTGACAGCTGACCTGTCGCATTCAACCTTGCTATTCTTTGCTTTAGGCCCTAGTGTTGCATCTCCAGATGAAGGAGTAGTAGAAGATCTGCCTTTAATAGATGAGAAAGCTGTGGAGCAGCTGACTGAAGGATTGATTTCCCATTATCTGCCTGATCTTCAGCGATCAAAATCAGCACTGCAGGAACTTACGTAAGCAGATTTTTAAAACCGACTTCATAGACATGCACACTTTGTTTGCCACTTTTTTCAGTTTAATGTCCCAGCTCCCCTTAACTGCAATAGAGTTTATCACAGCATTTCTGTGCCCTGAGTGGAGCAGCATGAACAGTTAAGTGCTCTGCAGGAGTACTGGTGGTGTATAAGCTGCCATGTAGCCTGTCGGAACTTTGACTGAAGAATGTGTAACATTAGAACACTGAAATCCCCTGAGCTGGTATAGCAGAAGACATGGAGATTTCTTAAACACTTGTTCACATCTGTAGTGGAAAGTCTGCTGAAAGCTGGATTTATGTCACTTGCAGAGATGCAGTTTGTATTCAGAGCAGCTTGTGCAGTGAATTTTTTGTTGTCTAGTCTCTAATCTCC